AGATCGTTGTGATGTCGATAAACTGCAGCACTGCTTTGGAAAACTCTTTTTCAGTCACAAATTCTTCGACCTCTGCAGAAAGTACAGTAAAGAAAAATTCACGGGAGAAGCGAAGGGGAACCAGGGAAAAAAAAACCGATTAGTTTTAGGGGACGGGAGTAACCAGGCAAACAACAGAAAACGAGGGTAACGCATTCTGCAAATGCCTGCATAATCTACAACATAAAAGAAACGAAAATCAGCGACTAACCTTGCATGTTTAAGCAGATCGCGTTGATCGGTGCGCATGGCGAATCAGTCGCAGTTGTCGCGAACTCGCCAGAGCTCGCCGCGGACGATGCCCCCGAACCTCCACCTCCATTCCCTCCCAGCTCGTGCAACTTGTTGGTAACCTTCGCGCCGAACTCGTTCGCAAAAGTTCGCGGAGGCGTCGCCGAGCCGGTGTTGTTCTCGCCAGCCAACCGCGCCGCGGCACCTGTCGCGCCGCTTCTCCCTAGGAACGAATTACCTCCTCCTAAGAACGAGTTCCCGGTTCCAGAAACTGATCTTAGCACTGAACCGGAATTTTGCGACGCGGACACTGCGGCGGCAGACGGCGACGACGACGACTCGTCCGATTCCGGCGAAACGGGATAAGACGACTGCGGCGACGGGCCTGGGCGACCGAGAGTCGTGTTCGGCGACGGGCAGCGGGGGAGATTGACGTGTGATCCGTTGCTTTGGTGCTTCTGCGACGCTTCTCCTCCGAAGGCTCCGCCGGGTTTCCCGCCGAAAGTTGGGTTACCGCCAAGAAGGCTCTTCTTTTGAACCCTCGAGTCGTGAATGGAAGAATACGACGAAAAAGAGGAGATATTACGCCCAGCCGGAGCTTTCGGTTCAGAAGGTGATGACGTGGCTCCTTGCGAGTTTCCCGGCGAAGTTCCCGGCGTGCTTCCCGGCGTAGACGATCCTGGAGCCATCATAGATGAGAAAGTGGACATGTTGATTGGAGGACGGCCCTTCGGAGGAGTCCCCATCGCCGGCCGATACGAGTCTAGAGACTGGCGGCTCGGCCGGCTAAAGAAGTTGTTCTTCTCAAAATTGTACTCATCTGATTTGATCGCCTGTGGCGTGCACACGGCCATTTTTAGAGGAGTGCCAGAACAAGGTTATCAGATGTTACGAACAGCGCTTGTTACGCAAAACCTCGGAAAAAGAACTGAAATACGCTTGGTGAACCTGCTCGTAGCGCTAGACTGATGGTTGTCGATCAGTTAGAGTGCTTCGTTGTAAGTGCAGCCAACTAAGACGATCAACCAAGATCACTGAAAGACTGGCGGATTAGCTAGCTTGTTCTGTAGGCAAGGAAATATAAAACACATTCCCGGTAGTGTATATAGACACCGACGCGCTTGGAGGAGGCTAAGGTAAGCGAAAGCAGGGGCAGAAATGAAAAACATATCCATGGTCTGATTGGCCGGGCAGGCAACGAACGACTAAACCGAATCTCGCTTGTGATGATGACAGAGCTGGCAGTGTGTGGAGTGCCATGCGCGTGGAGCTCCAGGGATGCAACGTTTGTGTGGCGGGGAGCGGATGGAATAAGAAACGAAAATTTTAATGCTTGTACAGTACTAAGTACACCTGAACTGTAGTTGTGGCTAGCTACAGCGCTACACCAGTGGTGGAGGCATAACGCTACACCAGCGCTAAACTGAAAGGAGGATTTTGTTTTGTGGCCTGCATGACGCTTGGCTTCTCTTGAGGTGGGTTGTGAGCTGGTTGTGGTCGACTTCAGCGACAATGGTAACCGGTTGTCCTCACATGTTCACGAAAGTTTGAGACAATCGCTGCCCAGCCACCTCGGATGGGATGTTTCCATCATTCCAGCGAAAAGTGAGTCGAATGTCGCACGCGTGTCTGTGGCTTGGCAGGGTCACCACCATGCTGTGGCAAGCCTACCTCCTCACTCACTCACTCATGCCAGCCGCATGAAACGCTTACCGCACAAATCTGATGAGGCCCGAACCAGATCCGACGACTCTAACCCGCTACCCTGAGGGCAACAGAAAGCAAATCCTTTTCGGGAGTTTGCTCCAGCTGCGAGCCATTTACGGGGCCTGGTGTGGCAGAACCGCGCCACGAACATCCATTCTGGTGCGTCAGAACGAGGCCTGTCCACCGTACAGTCGGTGCCCATTTCAAGAACACCAGGTAGGCGGGCGGCATGTGCGTGAAACGTGTTTGAGTTATTTCGCCACATTCGCCCTTGTCGCCACGGGCAAAAATGTGACTGTAATATGAAATTGCAACGTGAATCAAGTCAAGGGCTTTAATTTCATAACCAGGTTAACTTCTTTGATGACGGGCAACCGTTGTTGTTTATGTACTGTAGATGTTTTTCTTCCTCAACTTGGTGACTGTACCCTGAAATCGGCACAATGGTCAATTTAGTCACTCACGGGCAAAACGTTCGCGAGTGACTAAATATCTAATTGTAAGGAGCAAATGTTTTGTGATGGGCTGAGCATCGACTGTACGACTTCCATTCTGGCTGGGCACCTTATCGTTGTCCCCAGTTCTGGGTGGAGGCACAGAGGAAGGGATGCACGAATCACTCACATGGAAGGATACCCCATAGAACTACACGAAATCGCTAAGGCATTTTCAAATATTTATCAGAATACCTGACATGTTAAATTAAGTTGAGTATTTTCAGGCGGAATTACGGCTACATTTCCTTCAAACGTTGTGCTTGATTCGAGAAGAGCGCCGAAGTGGAAGAAATTGTGATCGAAGCCGTCGATATGAGGATATGCATCAAACCGTAGCTGCCTGGGTAAAAGCTTTGGTAAGTGGCGTGTGGACTGCTGCCTGGGCAAGTGGCGTGTGGACTGCTGGAAAAGTGTGTCTGAAGCTGACTTGTCGGGCAGACTGAAGGTGGACACAGTACGTATTGTTTATTTATTCATTGCAAGAAGTAAAATACGCCCTTCTACATTACTGTGATACAGTCTACAGTGCGCCAAATGTTTTTGTGGCATTGTTTGCACACGTTACGATCTGCCCGAATTTCTTGTAACCTACGGAGCAGGAATGTCACAACCATCAGTTTCCATCTTGTGGTTTCGGCGAAGCCTTATCCAGGTACAAGTGGACCTCCCATGTGGTAATGAATAATAAATCTCTTTCATGGCCTACAATCGTCGAAACCACGGCACAATGACGTGGCTGAAATATCTGACAGTGCTGAAATCGTCAGACTGTGCCTGTGTCGATTGGGGTGTGTAGTGGTAGGTGCACTTGAACTACACTAAGATTACCTCCATAACATTTCCATTTCACCTGGTTCCAACTACGCAATTGGAATCAAGGACCATAGTTAGGTTCCTTTCTCGGAGTACTCAGTCAATACTGGTGGTTGAAATCTCAGTCGCCAATGAAAGATACCCGAGTTAATCATTTTAATCCATCTAAATCACTAGGCAAAATGTTTTTTTGCTGCCTTACTTTTGTAGGGCGCCCACCCACCCCACAAATCACACATTCTCCAACAACATATGTGACAGTCCCAGAGACTCAAGAATTTGATATGTTTTTTTGGTCGGCTCGATCCCCAACTCCTTCATATCCTTCAGCACCCCGTGAATGTCCAAAACTAGACGCTTCCAGGAAGGATCCTCTTCCTTGTCCACCAGTTGTCCCTCCTCCCCAGGATCCCTCAACTCCTTATCCTTCTCCCACCGATTCACTATAGTCACAACGAGGTCGCGGAACAGCCGCGGATCAGTCATCTTATAAAGGGTACGAGAGAGGCCAATTATCTCCTTCACTCGAACCACATCGCCCTTGTTCCGGGCGGGGATGAGCACTTGGATCAAGGAAGAGAAGGGAAGCTTCTGATCGTTCCTCTGCATTCCCACGGCTGCTGCTTCCCGCAGGGCCCTCATGGCACCCTCCTCGTCGCCTGCCAGGCAAAGCGGAGACAAGGCGAGGCAGAGAAAAACAAGACAAAACGGAGGGGTACAGTGGGGTATGAGTTGGTGCAATGATCTCCTTCACTCGAACCGCATTACCCTTGTTCCGGGAGGGAATGAGCACTTGATCAGGGCAGAGAAGGGAAGCTTCTGGTCCATCCTCTGCATTCCCACGGCTGCTGCTTCCCGCAGGGCCCTCATGGCACCCTCCTCATCGCCTGTCAAACACAACACAGAGGGGTACAGTGGGGTAGAGTGCGATAAATGGAAGCTTCTGGTCCATCCTCTACATTTCCACAGCTGCTTCTTCCCGCAGGGCCCTCACGGCTCCCTCCTTGTCACCTGCCAGGAAGAAGCGGGAAAGGATAAGTACGGTGGAGTACGGTGGGATGTGGTGGGTTATGGTGGGGCTGCTGCTTTCCGCAGGGCCCTCATGGCACCCTCCTCGTCGCCTGCCAGGTGCAAGTTGCACGGGAGAAAAGACACAGAACGGTGGGGTACAGTGCAGTACTGTGGGGAACTGTGGGGTACTGTGGGGTACTGTGGGGTACAAGAGACAGTGGGCCCTCATGGCACTCTCCTCGTCGCCTGCCTGGCACAAGTGGGACAGGCGATGGCATGTATGTATGTCCCGGGGTCCCTCGGCCGCCCCCACCGCTGCATTGACTGCAGCAAGGAGGGGATCTTGTCGAGCCTGCCTGCCGTGCTGAGTGTTGCAGGGATGAGGAGCAGTTACACACCACTCACCAGATCTCAGGAATGGTTCAATGAGGCGCACGTATGTCCCGGGGTCCCTCGGCCGCCCCCACCGCTGCATTGACTGCAGCAAAGCGGGGATCTTGTCGAGCCTCCCTGTCCTCCCTGCCTCTCTCCTCCCCACCCTCCCTGCCTCTCTCCTCCCCACCCTCCCTGCCCCTCTCCTCCCCGCCCTCCCTACTCACCAGCTCTTAGAAACGCGTCGATAAGGAAGACGTATGTCTTGGCGTCCCTGGGCCGCGCCCACCAGCATTCCATCCCTTATTCAACACACACACCACACACCTCTTATGCAGTGCCCTCCTCACCAGCTCTTAGAAACGCGTCGATAAGGAAGACGTATGTCTTGGCGTCCCTTGGCCGCCCCCACCGCTGCATGGACTGCATCAAAGCGGGGATCTTGTTGAGCCTGCCCGCCCTGCCGAGTGCCGCCAGGAGCACGTTGAATGATGCTGTGGTGGGGGGCATGAGCGCACACATCTCGTTAAAGGCCTGGGAAAAAAAGGTGGGATGGGGTAGGGAGGGAGGCACAGGGGGAGGAAAACAGGGAATAGGCAGTAGGACCGAAACAAGGTGAGGAGGGCAGCAAAGCGGGGATCTTGTTGAGCCTGCCCGCCCTGCCGAGTGCCGCCAGGAGCACGTTGAATGATGCTGTGGTGGGGGGCATAAGCGCACACATCTCATTGAAGGCCTGGGAAGGGAAGGGAGGGGGGGGCAGAGGGGGCAGGAGATCAGGGTAAGGAGGGCAGCACTGCTGGAATCTTGTCGGGCCTGCCCCTCCCTGCCCATCTGACTGAGAGCTGCTAGAAGCACGTTGAATGATGGCGTGGTGGGGGGCATGCGCGCGCACATCTCGTTGAATGCCTGGTGGGGGGAGCGGAGGGATGTACCAGGCAGAGGAAGACGGGATAGGCAGTATGGAACAAAGTGAGGAAGGCAGCACTGCAGACATGGAGCACGTTGAATGATGGCGTGGTGGGGGGCATGCGCGCACACATCTCGTTGAAGGCCTGGGAAGGGAAGGGAGGAGGCAGGAGAACAGGGATCTCTTCTCATGCCTGCCTGACTGACTGACTGACTGACTGACTGACTGACTGACTGACTGACTGACTGACTGACTGACTGACTGACTGAGAGCCGCTAGAAGCACGTGGAATGATGGCGTGGTGGGGGGCATGCGCGCACAGTCCCAGCAACTCCTCTTGCCTTCTAGCTTTGAGACGTCTCAAAATCGAGTTTTGAGATGTCTCAAAAGCGCACAGTTCCTGCAACTCCTCTTGCCTTCTCCAGGTCTCCCGCTTGACTGTGAACCTCGATTCGAGAGTGGTACATGCTCCCTTGTACGCTATTTACTCCTCTCAAAACCTCTCAACTCCTTTCAAATCCTCTCAACTCCTCTTTTTTCCCCTCTCACCTGTTCCGCCTTCTCCAAATCCCCCGCTCGGCTGTGCACCTCGATTCGAGAGTGGTACATGCTCCCTTCCCGCTCTCAAATCCACTCAAATCCTCTTGAATCCTCTCAACTCCTCTCAACTCCTCCTTTCTCCCCTCTCGACCGCTCGGCCTTCTCCATGTCTCCCGCTCAGCTGTGAACCTCAATTCGAGAGTGGTACATGCTCCCTTTTCCGCTCTCAAATCCACTAAAATCCACTCAAATCCACTCAAATCCACTCAAATCCTCTTGAATCCTCTCAACTCCTCGCAACTCCTCCTTTCTCCCCTCTCAACTGCTCAGCCTTCTCCATGTCTCCCGCTCAGCTGTGCGCATCAATTCGAGTGGTACATGCTCCCTTGTACGCTATTTACTCCTCTCAAAACCTCTCAACTCCTTTCAAATCCTCTCAACTCCTCTTTTTTCCCCTCTCACCTGTTCCGCCTTCTCCAAATCCCCCGCTCGGCTGTGCACCTCGATTCGAGAGTGGTACATGCACCCTTCCCGCTCTCAAATCCACTCAATTCCTCTTGAATCCTCTCAACTCCTCGCAGCTCCTCCTTTCTCCCCTCTCACCTGCTCGGCCTTCTCCATGTCTCCCGCTCAGCTGTGCACCTCAATTCGAGAGTGGTACATGCTCCCTTGTACGCTCTCTACTCCTCTCAAAACCTCTCAACTCCTTTCAACTCCTCACAACTCTTCTTTTCTCCCCTCTCACCTGTTCTGCCTTCTCCAAATCCCCCGCTCGGCTGTGAACCTCAATTCGAGAGTGGTACATGCTTCTGTAAGTTCAAAGGCCGGGGGCCGGGGGCGAGGGGGAATAAGAAAGGGATGGAAAGGGGCGGGAAGGGGTGGGAGGGGGCGGGGGAAAGGGGTTTCAAGGTTGTTGTTTTGGGCTGTGAACCTCGATTCGAGAGTGGTGCATGCTTCTGAAAGTTTACAGGCCAAAAGGGGCGGGGATGGTAAAGGGGTGGGAAGGGGTGGGAGGGAGTGGGGGGAAGGAGTTTCAGGGTTGTTTTTTGTTGCTTAACAGATAGAAAGAAAGAAAGGAAGCAAGGAAAGGGGGGTAAGAGGGAGCGAGGGAGGGAAAGAGGGAGGGAAGGAAGACAGACAACCAGACCACAATGCAAGCCCTCCGAATTGACTCTTGAGTCGAAACAAAAGTCAAGGGAGGGAGGGAGGGAGGGAGGGAGGGAGGGAGGGAGGGAGGGAGGGAGGGAGGAGACTTATCCACTCACAACCAGACCACAATGCAACTCCTACGAAACCTTCCCCCCATCCCCCCTCCCTCATCCTTCTCTCCCCTAGTATGCCCCTTCCCCTCCCCACCTCTCCCACTTCCCCCTCTCCCCAACCACCTTTCCCCTCGTTTCCCCCCTCCCACCACCCCCAACCACACAGAGAAATCACGACTCAGAACAGAACCCACCTGTCAAGAGGCAACCCGGCCTGCTTCACCTCTTCCCACACTTTGGAAAACCTCTCAACCGCTCCTCGTTTCGCGTATCGCCCCATCAGGGACCAATACGTCTTCACATTCAGCCTTTCTCCTGCTTCCTTCATCGCCTCGATACACAGGTCCGTTTTTTCAAACTGCCCGGCGAGCGCGTATGCACCAATCAGGATGTTGTACGACACGCCGCTGGGCTGCCCGCCATCTGCCCGCATGCGTGCAAGATAGGCCTCCATTTTTTCGATCTGCCCGAGCCTGGCGAGGCTGGCTAAAACGACGTTGTAGGCCACTTCGTCAGGCATCATTCCCTGAGGGGTGGTGTGGTATGGTGTGGTGCGGTGTGGAGTGGTGTATCAATCATCATACGTATCGCAATAGCGTGTAACACTCCCACAGCACACACGCATGTGCCTGAGCCTTGAGACGTCTCCAAACTTGCACGCACGCATCTTCCCGACCCAAGCCTGGCGAGGCTGGCAGGAATGATGTTGTAAGCAACTTCGTCAGGCATCATTCCCTGTGGTGCCAGGAAGGATGGGGCGAACAGGGGAGGGCGGAACACACATGGGACCCCAAGCCTGCTGGGGCTGGCTGGAACGACGTTGTAAGCAACTTCGTCAGGCATCATTCCCTGTGAGGTAGGAAACGTTGCAGCAACAGGGGAGGGACACCCCAAACTTAGCATTACTGCAGGGGAGGCACATAAACATTTCCCTGCATGAATCCCCCCCAGCTGAGGCTGGCAAGAACGACGTAGTAAGCAACTTTGTCCGGCATCATTCCCTGTGAGGTGGGTGGAGACACAGAGGGAGCAAAGGAGAGTGGTATATGATACATAAATAGCAATTGTGCCGAGCGAACACACACATACGTGGCTGTGGGACAAGCACACACACACACACATGAACCCATGCCTGCAAAGGCTGGCTGGAATGATGTTGTAGGTAACGTTCGACACGCATCATTCCGTGATGCTCTCGATATAAACACCCTTTTCTCGATATAAGCAGCTTAACCATCTGCTTTTACTCACCATCTTCTCGTTAAAATCACCTTCGACTCGTTTTAACTTAACTTCTAATTGTGCTTCTTATACAAACCTTATTCTTGTCACAATCACCTTCCTATCCTTATCAACACTTTCTTCTTGTTATAATCACCCTCTCGTTACACTCACCTTCTCCTTCATCTCTTGGAGCAACAAATCAACATCCCCCAGCACTTTCTCCAACCGCTCCTTCCTTGAACCTTCCTTCCCCTCCCCCAACTCAAACCAATCCGCATCATTCCAACCCCCCTCCCCTTCCTCCCCTCCCCCTCCCCCTCCCTCCTCCTCATCTCCTCCTCCTTCCCCCCCTCCCTCGCTCGTTATTGTCATATCTGCTCCATTCAAGGCAGCCCCTTTCGATATAATCTCCTGCTCGGTTAGCAATGCTTGAAGCTTCGACCGATATGAGGCATTTTCCTCAGTTACCCCTTGATTACGGAGCCATTCCAGTTCTTCCCCTAGCTTGTGCGTCCGCCCGCGCCTGGCAAAATGGTGTAGCACTCCAACATACACCTGAGCGGGCAGATAAAAAAACAAAACAATTCGGGTAGGAAGTGAAAATACTGCTACAAGGAGAAAAACAACATTGCTCAACCACACTCAATCCAAATCAACTCTAAATCCCACCCACCTTTTCTTTGCAAAAATACTGCTACAAGGAGAAAAACAACATTGCTCAACCACACTCAATCCAAATCAACTCTAAATCCCACCCACCTTTTCTTTGCGAAACTCCTCAGGAAAGGAGAGGAACATCTCTCGAACGGTCCCCACCGCATTGCACCGCGCAGCACAGGCTAGGGCGAGTTGGTAGTCAAGGTAGGTGAGGGGAAAGCCCGAAGAGGAAATAAGCCATTGAGAGAGCTGGAGGAGAAGAGGGGGAAGAGGAGGAGGGGGGGGGGAGGGAAGGGGGAAGTGGGGAAGGGGCAACGGGCGAGGGCGAGTTGGTAATCAAGGTAGGTGAGGGGAAAGCCTGATGAGGTGATGAGTCAATGAGAGAGCTGCAAGGCGGAGTGGAGGGAGGAGAAAGAGTGGGGGAATGTGGACGGCAGTGAGAGGAGCAAATGTTGCTAGACGAGTGGGTGAGGGAGAGGAAAGCAAAGCAGCTCGGTGAGAAAGGAGGGTGTGAGGGGGTGAGTGAGTGGAAATATTGCTTTTGCTCAGAGTGCAAACGGGCTTCTGAGGCGCCCCAAACTGTTGCTAGACGAGAGGGTGAGGGAGTGGAAATCCAAAGAAAGTGGTGCACAGTGGGAAGATTTTGAAGGCGCCTCAAAAAGACAAAGGGAGTGCTGCACAGTGGGAAAAGGGCTTGATTTTTCTCGGTGTGCATACGGGCTTTTGAGGCGCACCAAATGTTGCTAGACCCAAACGGGTGAGGGAGAGGAAAGCCAAAGGAAGGTGCTGCTTGGTGAGAAAGAGGCTTGTTTTCTCTCCGTGCGTGCGCACACCGACTTTTGAGGCGCCTCAAAATGTTGCTAGAAGGTGAGGGAGAGGAAAGCCAAAGGAAGTGCTGCTCGGTGGGAAAAAGGCTTGATTTCGCTTGGTTTGCATACGGCTTTGAGGCGCCCCAAAGTGTTGTTCGACGAGAGGGGGTGAGGGAGAGGAAAGCCAAAGGAAGTGCTGCTCGGTGGGAAAAAGGCTTGATTTCGCTTGGCGTGCATGTGGGCTGGAACGAGTTTTGAGTCGACTCAGAGCTCGACTTATCACACTGGAAGTGCTGCACAGTGGGAAGATTTTGGAGGCGCCTCAAAAAGATAAAGGGAGTGCTGCACATTGGCTACATTGAAATCACTTTTGAGAATTCTCAAAAGGGAAAAAGGCTTGATTTCGCTCGGTGTGCATACGGGCTGGAACGGTGGAGTTGAGTTCAAATAAGGTGCCTCAATGTGGAGTGGAGTGGTTTGGGGTGGTGTGGAGTGGTCATGTGGAGTGTGGTGTATCAATAATCACACACACATACGGGCTGGAACGGTGGAGTTGAGTTGAATAAAGGTGCCTCAGAAAGAGACGAGGCTTATTGCTCACCTCTGCTGCTGATGGAGGCCTAGCAAGTATGATCCCTGTGCGAAGCCGCAACATGTTTGCCTAAGTCTAAAGTTTAGATTGAGCTGTATGTTTGGATCTTAATTCAACTTTTTTCACTAATGGTTACAATGGGTTGAGCTGTATGTTGCTCACCTCTGCTGCTTTTGCTTGGAGTGCATATGGGTTGTTGCAATGACAACAAGTTGTAATAATGAGGCAACGCAGGTAGAAAATTGTTGCTTACCTCTGCTGCTTTTGCTCGGTAAGCATGTGGGTTATTGCAGCGACAGCAAACTGTACCATGAGGCAACGCAGACATTTGTATTGCTCACCTCTGCTGCTTTTGCTCGGTAAGCGTATGGCTGGCAGCGACGGATGGCCTGTGGAGGGACGGGAGAGAGAGAAAGGGAGAGAGAGGAGAGAAGGGGGAAGAGAGGGTAAGGGTAAGCATATGTGTGAGTGGGAGGGTGAAAGGGTAAGCGTATGCCTGGCAGCGACGAATTGCCTGTAGATGGATGGGAGAGAGAACAAGGGAGAGAGAAAGAGAGACGAGAGAAGGGAGAAGAGAGTGAGAGAAGATAAAACAATTCGGTGGGATTATGGGCTGCAGCGATTGACTGCAAGCAAAGGGATGGGATAGAGAGAACAAGAGAGAGAGGAGAGAAGAGAAAATACTTGGTGGGCCTATGGGATGCAGACTGCAGCGATTGACTGCAAGTAGAGGGATGGGATAGAGAGAAAGTGGCAGAGGCTTTGGCAGAAAATATCACACGCACACAACCATGCAACACAAGCAAACACAACCGGTCACACCACACCACATCACACCACATCACACCACACCGGACCGCAGTGCATCACACTGCACTGCACTCACCCACAGCAGCTGCTCCTTTGGGCGTGTAAGATCCCCGTGCACACGTTTTGGCTGAAATTTGTCGACCATTTGGTCGACAAAATGTTTCGCCAAAGTCGACAATGTGGCCGTTACAAAGTCGACAATGTGGCCGTTACAAAGTCGACAATGTGACCGTTACAAAGTCGACTCGACTTCAGCCATGGTAAAGTCTATGTTGGCAGATACGCTCTTGAAAGGCTGGCGTATCACGTATATTCGCTAGCGTATATGCGTGATACGCTCTGAATTCGCGAAAATACGGCCGGGCAGCCCGGCGAAAAAAAAATTCCGAAATTGAAAAACTTCGCGACGATGTGCGAAGTCGCGAAGTGTTACCGCGACTTCGCTCATGTGCCCAACCCCACTTCTGAACTTCGAATTTCAAAATCCAAACTTTCCCACCCCCTCAACCACACATCACCCCACCCAACCTCTCAATCCCAACCACCCCCTTCAAATGTTCTTCCATCGTTTGCACGTATAGGTCGACGTTGCGCAAATGCTCTTCCATTTCCTTCCCGCATTTCTCCACTCTTCTTCGTTAGTTAGACTTACGTAGTGCGCCATGGCGTCGGGCTCAGCTCCTAGTACTTCGACGAACAACAATCCAGCCTCTGTCCATGGCTCTACTACCGTCAACACGGATCCTGTTGAGGCTGGACTATCTCACCCCATTCTGAAACATTTCCTCATTCCATTTCACACCAAAGGCAACCCCAAGCTGTGCAAGTTCTGTGGCAAGAAGTTCGAGGGCGGAACAAACCGCCGTGCAATCCATCTCGCGACATGGAAAGGGCAGGAGAAGCGCGCAGTGGCGTTATGCAAGGACGCGCCCACGGCAGTCCGCGATGAAGTCCGTGGCATGTACGAGACCAAGGCGGAACAGCAGGACTTGAAGCGAGGGGCGGCCGCTGCTGCAATTCACTCCGCGCTTGACGCTGTCAGTGGAAACCCGGAGAAAAAGAGCAAAATTACGGATTTCTTTGGCAATGAGGCGACGTGCGCCAAGGAGGACGCGGATAACGCGCTTTGCCTTCTGTTCGCGGCGCTGAAACTTCCGGAGCGCATTGCGGACGATCCGGTCTTCCGCTACGCAGTCCAGTGCATTGCGCGCGCTGGACCTGGGTACGTCCCTCCTAAGAGGCGCTACATTGGAGGGGCAGGCTTGAAGAAGGTGCGGCAGAAAATGGAGGTCGCGTTCGCCCCCGTTGCCGCGAGCTGGAAGCGGGACGGGGTAACGGTGTCGTCGGACATGATGACCGACCGTTGTGGCCGCCCGCAGGCCAACGTGCTCCTTGTCAACGACTCCGGCGCAGTTTTCGAGCAGGCGGTGGACTGCAACATGGAGTCGAAGACCGGGGGGTACATCGCCAGCCTTCTCCGCCCCGTCATTGATAAGGTGGGGCCGGAGAATGTGGTGGCGGTCTGCACCGATGGCGGCAGCAACTATGCATCGGCCGCCAAGAAGATTGCGAGCACATGGCCGCACATTGAGCATGTGCCATGTGCCACACATGTCCTGGACCTGATGATGGAAGATATGGGCAAAATGGGATGGGCGAAGGGGCTTGTGGAGAAAGGAGGGGAGATGATTACCTTCGTGCGCAACCACCACTTTACCCGTGCCTATATGAAGAAAGTGGGGGGGAAGCAGGTGCTCAAGCCTGCGGGAACCAGGTTCGGGACACAATACATAGCCATGGCCCGGCTATGTGAGGTGAGGAGTGGGCTGGCGGCGATGGTCCTCAGCGACGAGTGGAAGGTGTGGGCAGCGGCGGACAAGGATAGGAAGACAGCAGCTGAGAAATTCAGGGCTGCTGTGATGGATGAGGAGTGGTGGGGGGTGGCGGAGTTCTTTACCTCTCTCATGGCGGTGCCATTCAAGGCCATGCGGGCCACGGACTCTTCCGCGAAAGGCATGATGGGTAAGCTGTATGACATCATGCTACAGCTTACCGAGGACATCAATGACAAGCTCGACGCTTCAAGTGACTTCTTGACTCGGACAGAGAGGGCAGACATCACCAAGATTGTGAAGGACAGGTGGGACAACTCCCTTGCCTGCCCCATGCATGTGGTTGGCCGGATCCTGAACCCGGCCAACCAGGAGGAGGGAATTTTCAGGAACGATGTGGAGTGCACGCGGGTGTTCAAGGACTACATCGAGCGCCACTATGACAACAAGACCTTCAAGCGTGGCAAGGATGGCGCCCCTCGCCGCGCCTCCCTTGTGCTGCAGGAGGCATTGCTGGCCTACATCAACATGGAGGGCAGCTTTGGCAAGCCGGGCGCCATTTTTGCAAGGGAGGCAGTGAAGAAGGGGGAGATGAGCATGGTGCAGTGGTGGTCGTGGCACAGCACCGAGTATCCTGAGCTTGCCGCCCTCGCATGCCGGGTGCTCACTCAGCCCGTCTCGGCTTCCCCATGCGAGCGTGGCTGGGCGCAGTGGGAAGGCGTCCACACCGCCCGCCGCAACCGGCTCGGGTCCGCCAAGTGTGCGGACCTCGTCTACATTGCGCACAACTGGAACGTTGTGCGCAATTGGTACAAGAAGGATGGGGGCAGCACGGTTGTGCCCGGTAACATCTCGGATGCCCCTATTCCCCCCGGCTATAACATGGATGAGGAGGAGGATGACATGCTGGGGGAGGAAGGAGAGGATGCAGTGCTGGCGGATGAGTATGGGGAAGGTGTGGTGGTGGAAAAGCCCCGCAAGGAAATCGGTTGTGGGGAAGCTAGCTAGAGGGTGGGGTGGGGTGGGGATGTATGGGGAGAAGTAGCCCCAAATATGTATTTCTGGATATTTATGAAATTTAAATTATGACTTGTGTTCTTGGAAAACAATCCCCCCCCCTGAAACAGGTTTTTTTAGCCCTGCCCGGGAAAAAAGTTTTACCTGCCCGCCCAGCGTATTTTTGCGTATCACCAGTACGCCAGCCCTCGCGTACCGCGTATATACCCAGCGTATAATACGCTAGCGTATTATACCCTGGGACGCGTATTTGCCAACGTAGGGTAAAGTGGCCTGCAAATCTGACTTGACGTATGTTGGATTTGGTGGCCGCTATACCGGAGTTGTCAACTTTCGTTCCTGGTGGCCGAACTACAGCGACAGAGTCGCCCAAACAGTAGTCGCCCAAACATGGTATTGAAACCATTCTATCGGGCCACAAAATTCACGCGCTGTCGCAATGCTGTGCCTGCGACGTCGCCCCTGAACAGAAGTCGCGTGATGTCGACACCGTGGCTGTTGTCGAGTCAACTTCTTGTCGCAAAAGTGTCGACCTTGGAAACGGCCAACAAATAGTAAATTACGTGGCTGTTTTGACTTCTGAGTCGACTCCTGTTTGGGGTTCGGTCGCAAAAGAGTCGACCTTGGAAACGGCCAGCAATTTGTGAATTAAGTGGCTGTTTTTGCGCGACGGTCGCAATCTTACCGCGACCTTCGTAACAGGGTTACTTTCGCTAACTTCGGCCGGCCGAATTGGTGTGCACGGGGATCTTACACGCCCTTATCCAGCACGCATCAATGGCCGACAGGAAAGAGGCGCTGGCCCAAGCAAAACATCGCACTGCAGCCAGTCGCACCACACCACACCACACTGCACCGCATCACACCGCACTCAACCATAGCAGCAGCTCCTTATCCAACACGTCTCCCGCCATCCTCCACGCCTCAATGGGCAGCAGCACAGAGGCGCGTCGCCCCAAGCAAACACGCACCTACAGCCAGTCGAACCACACCATACCAAACCACACCACACTGCACCACACCGGACCGCTTCACACCAGACTGCACCGCACTCACCCACAGCAGCAGCTCCTTATCCAGCACTCCTCCCGCCATCCTCCACGCCTCAATGGCCGGCAGGACAGGATTGTTGCTGCGCACACGGCTGATAACACCCCACAGCTGCCCCCTGCGCACTGAAAGAGGTTTGGGATGTCGGGTTTAGGGTTGAAGGAGAACAGGAAGAGTTGGGGAGTGTAAGGAGGAAGCATGGGTAGAGGCGTTCCCGCCATCCTCCACGCCTCAATGGACAGCAGGACAGAGGAGTTGCTGCGCACCCGACTGATAACACCCCACAGCTGCCCCCTGCGCACTGAAAGGGGTTTCGGGTGTCGGTTTTAGGGTTTTACGAGAAAAGGAAGAGTTTGGGAGTGTAAGGAAGAATGGTTAGAGGCGTTCCCGCCATCCACCATCCTCCACACCTCAATGGCCGGCAGGACAGGATTGTTGCTGCGCACACGGCTGATAACACCCCACAGCTGCCCCCTGCGCACTGATATATATTTGGGATTTGGGGTTTAAGGAGCAAAAGGAAGAGTTGGGGAGTGTAAGGAAGCATGGTTAGAACGTTGCCGCCATCCTCCCCCCACGCCTCCATGGGCAGGGCAGCAAGACAGAGGTTAGGGTTTCAGTGCCTCCATGCTGCGCACACGACTTAGAACTCCCCACACTGCCCCCTGCGCACTGAAAGGGGATTAGAGTTTGGGCTTTTAAGTTTAAGGTACGGGGTTTGGGTTAAAAGTAGTGTGGTTTTCGACACGACTTAAGCGTTGCCGCGCAACCGGCGTATATTACTCCACCGCTGCCCCCTGCACAATGAATAGATAATCCGTAACAGGATTTGGGGTTTAAGGAGAAGAGATGTGGAGGCATGGATATAACCAGCCAACATGACAGATGTGCCGCCCAGCAGCCCAATGATAAGGCCCCACAGCTGCCCCCTGCGCCCTGAAAGGGGTTTGAGATTCAGGATTATGGAGTCTAAGGAAGCTAGGTTAGCCCGGCCAGTATGATACATGAGCCGCCGAGCATCCCACTGATAAGGCCCCACAGCTGCCCCCTGCGCCCTGAAAGGGGTTTGAGATTCAGGATTATGGAGTCTAAGGAAGCTAGGTTAGCCCGGCCAGTATGATACATGAGCCGCCGAGCATCCCACTGATAAGGCCCCACAGCTGCCCCCTGCGCCCTGAAAGGGGTTTGAGATTCAGGATTATGGAGTCTAAGGAAGCTAGGTTAGCCCGGCCAGTATGATACATGAGCCGCCGAGCATCCCACTGATAAGGCCCCACAGCTACCCCCTGCGCCCTGAAAGGGGTTTGAGATTCAGGATTATGGAGTCTAAGGAAGCTAGGTTAGCCCGGCCAGTATGATACATGAGCCGCCGAGCATCCCACTGATAAGGCCCCACAGCTGCCCCCTGCGCCCTGAAAGGGGCAAGGCTAGCCCGGCCAGTATGACAGATGAGTGGCCAAGCCAGCAAGGGAAGACTTGGGGGAAAACGGGAGACTTGGGGTTTTAGGGAACATATGGCTTGAGAGTTCTCGAGTTGTGGGTTTAGGGCTCCAAAGGGAGGGGGAGAGCTGGAGAGAGAGGAAAACATGTGCCAGCACCTATAGTCATTGCTGCTGTTTCAGAGCCGCCTGGGAACATCTGGCTTGAGAGTTCTCGAGTTGAGGGTTTAAGGCTCCAAAGGGAAGGGGAGAGCTGGAAAGAGAAGAGAACATGCGCCAGCACATATAGTCCTTGCCCTGCGTTCGCCTGTCTCATCGCTGCCGCTCATACATCTCACTCACTCACTCGCTCACTCACTCACTCACTCACACCCTCTCTGCACGTACAGTCTCTGCTGCTGCCCGTTTGTCTGCTCCCTCGCTGCCTCGGCTGTTTCTTCCAAGCCTGAATGCCCGAACCTCCGTCTCCGGTTCGGCCCTCCCCGCCGCTGCCGAAACGGTTGTTTCTGTTGATGCCGCTGCTGCTGTTGCTGCTGATGGTGGTGCTACTGTTCACGGGGCCGCCTGTGATGCTGTAATTGCCTCCTCCCAAAATCTCCGAAACTTCTGCTTCTGCTTCTGCTTCGCTCACTTTCACACTCGTGGTATCCTCATCTTTCCCTGCTGCCGAAGCATCATCACCAGTAGGCTCGGCAGGTATCCCCGAACCAGTAGCAGCAGGCTTGACAGGGAGCCCCGAGCCAGGAACAGCTGGCTCGGCAGATGACTCCGAAGCAGATTCAGAGACTTGGGAAGCGACGGGAGGGACGGACGAGAGGAACCGAGAGGGCAGGTTCGGAATGGAGGGGGCCACGTGTGACTGTAACGAGCAGGGCAAATTTCCTGCAGCGGAGGCTGTGCTAGCGAAACTACTGTACGCACAGTTACTGTAGACGTGGCTGCTGTAAACATGGTAACCGCCAATGAGCGTTACAGACGAGAGGAGAGGAGATGATGCAAGAGCATAGGGAGCAGAGGCATGGGCTGCTGCTGCTGCTGCTGCTGCTGCAGAATGCCTTATAACCGAGGGTGACAGTGCTGAGTGCGACAATAACGGATTAAGCTCCGAGTGCTGGTTTGTTGAGGAAGCTGTGGAATCAGCAGGAGCGGCAGGAGGAGCTGCAGCTGGCTCAGCGGGTGTAGATAGAATGGGCCTGTAACAAAAAAAACAAAAAAAAAAAACAAAACAAAAACAAAACAAAAAAACGGAAAACAGAAAAGGGAGAAACATGTGGAAGACCGATTTGAATATAGCTGCAGTGCACAACTGAATGGTACACTGCAACAGTAAATACCTAAATTGTAACATTTACGAAAAAATATCAAGGGTCTCATACTTGTGGGTTTGAATGTACAGGTGGACTGATCTGGACTGATCTGACCGCTTTCTAAAAACAAAGTACTCGAGAGCTCAGAGCAGAAAAAAGACCTAGGAGAGACGAAGGGGATGGATTCATGAAAACGCTCAGACGCGAACAGAGCAGAAAGGAGAGCGGAATGAGTAACGTGGGGAGGCGAGCGGGAGTGATTAAAAATGAAGTTACGGAGTGGACGTATCCAGGAAGACGCTCTCGGAGGAAACTTGGTGACTTTTGAGTCGACTCAAAAGTCGCTCTCGGAGGAAATTTTTGAGGAATTCTGAAAATTCTCCTCCTCTCAGACGCGATTGAGATGGGGACCAGAATGAGTGATGCGGGGAGAGGAGCGGGCGGGTTTTGCGGCGCCTAAAAAAATGCGAACACAACGGGATGGGGAGTGCGTGAGTGATGCAGGGAGAGGGAGGGACTGATCTAAAAGTCGCGGACGGATCCAGGGCGACGCTCGGACAGGAAGAGATCGGGATGGGGAGTGGAGTGCCTAACGCTGGGAGGCGAACAGGACTAATCTAAGAGCACAGAGACGACGGATCCCTCGTCACTCTTAGTTTGTTTTGAGATCCTCTGACATACTTCCAGTGAGCAGCAATGCTTAGGTTTAGGCTTAAGCAAGTAGGAAAAAACAGTGAAACTCTTAACACTAGCTAATAGCCGAGAGTCTGTGAAACCGGAACTCTTCTCGTTAACAGAAATCAAAACAAGACAAACATGTTTCGGCTGGAGGGCATCCCCTACCAGGCCTTCATCAGTGTCAGAGGATCCCTCGTCACTCTTAGTTTGTTTTGAGACGTCTCAAAACATAACGCTGGGAGGCGAGCTGGAATGATCTAAGAGCACAGAGACGACGGATCCCTCGTCACTCTTAGAATCTCGCGCCGCCTCGCGTGAAGAAAGGATCTCATCGGTCCCCCTCGGTGCGATTCCATCGCGGGATGAATCTCATCGGATCTACCAACGCGCGCATCTGACTCCCCAGTCCCTATCTTCCCCCTCTCTTTTCCGCCCCTATCGTGTAGCAAGAAGCTGATTATGATTTACCTACTCGCACATCGGACTCTCAATGCGACTGCGACATGCCTCAGTGAGACTGCGACATGCCTCAGTGCGACAGACTGACCTCAGTGCGACAGCGACATGCCTCAGTGCGACGGAATGACCTCAGTGCGACGGAATGACCTCAGTGCGACAGACTGACCTCAGTGCGACGGACGGCACAGATCCCGCGCGTTGCCTCGCGTGGAGCAACAGTCGCATCGCCATGGCGAATTGCTTCCGATGAGCAGCGCAAAAGCACGACGATTAGGCTGATCACTCGATCGCCGCGCTTCAGTGCGACGTCGCACTGCGACGAGGAGCAATAGAAGAAGGACGGAATGCAGTTTGCTGCGACGAGATTACAAACCGAGTAAAAACGTAGCTACTCCCACACACCCCCACAAAATAGAGCACGGCCCGGTTGTTACGATGGTCGTAGATTCCTAGCAGAAACACGAGGCCCAGCGCCGTCCGTGATGCATGAAGGCGGGAATGGAAGAACGCTGGAGACACGTTTGCTCTGATCAGTCTGGGGCACTCATCACCGCAGCACAAAATACACTTTGCAGGCTGACGCGTTGCGCGTGCAAACCACATATTGATACAGAATGTCTTTAGACGGATAAATGTTCATTATGAATCTCTCAGCAAAAACCCTAAAAAGATAAAATCGTGCTCAGCAGGACTCGAACCTGCGCGGGCAGAGCCCAACAGATTTCTAGTCTGTCCCGTTAACCACTCCGGCATGAGCACATGTTAACGTATGATAATGAAATTATTAAAAACATGCCCTGATCAAGCCTCCTCGTCAAAACATCATCTCGCCAGTCGCTTATTCACTCTTCAGTCAGCCATGGCCGTCGCAATGGCCGCTTCGGGTAGTCTGGCGCGCCTATCAATGCGACTTAGCGACTGTAGCAATCTCAAAAGCGTTTCTCGCTCCAATAGTATCAGCCATCCCGCCCCGTTCCGCCTACCAGTTCGTCGCCGTATAGTTGGGTCTCTCGAGCCAATTGCGTGTTCCAAGCGGGAATCACGGCCTTCTGAAGCAGCTTCTGCTGCTTCGAAGCCCCCAGCGTCTCTTGCAGCAGAACCCTCGCAACGTGCCGTCCTTCCCCAGGTCGCGGCAGCAGAGAGAGAATCCTCCAACTTCTTTCTTTCCGTACTAGCACTTTCGCTCGGAACCTCCGCTTTAATCACATTCGCCGGTGCGGGACCCGCCGAAGCAGCCGATGCAGCCGCCGCGACCGTCGCCTCCGCCGGCGGAAGCGGAGCCGATTTACCCTCGTCTCTCCTCTCGGCCGCGTTGGGATCGCCTGTGCTTGACCTACATTCTTCGTTAGGGTTGGGGTCATCTGCGACGCTCGCTTTCATCCCCACCGGTCCGCTCATGAGCGAGTTTTGGGACAATGTCGGCCGATTCGTGATCTACTTTTTCACGGTTTTTACGGGAGGGCTTTACAGCCTGGTTAGGCCGATCGTGGAGCTTTTTAAGAAACCGACGACGGCGGTTCTGGTGGTTCTGGTGCTGGGAGGAGGGTTTTACATCACGTATCTCACTCTTTCCGCGATGCTCGGATTGGACGGCTCGGATCTTCCTCTTGATGGCTATTAAAGGAAGCTTCGGCTTGAGAGGAGCGGTAGGGTGATGGGAGCAAGCTGCTGTAATTGCTGATGCCCGTAGAATTCTGTTCGTTTAGCGGAAGTAAACCTATGTACCACGAATTTTGTACTTTTCCTTTTTACTGGTAGCACTTACCTAAACGGGGGTTTTGCTCTCCAGGTTTCATGCTTTCTGGCGCTAGAGTGAGAATGCAGCAGGGGCCTGATTAGTCATTTTTGTTTGTACCATGCACATGCGCCTGCAAATGGAGCTCGCAATGCACCATTGCTCTCCCACTCTGCTCTTCTCACTCTCATTCTCACTCCCTCTCACTTTCCTTCTCCAACCAACCATCGGTGACTTCAATGATCCTCCCCCCTCTCCCTCTCCCTCTCCCTCTCCCTCTCCCTCTCCATCTCCCCCTCCCTCGCCCTCTCCCACTCATTTCACCGACTTTTCTGGCCTCCTTTCCCTCCTCTTGTGTTTCTCCGACGTTTTCTGGCCTTTTCCTCCTCCCTGTATGCTCTAATTGCACTCTTCTTCTCTTTTTACTCCTGCCACCTCTCCTCCTTCCGTTTTCCATCGTTCTCTTCCTTCAAATCGTCTACTTCTATTCTCCCCCCTCCCCCCCCCTTACTCCTGGCTTCACTCCCTTTCCGTTACTTCCACTCTCCATCATTCTCTCCTAACAGCCCGCCTGCTTCTCTTTTCCCCCGCCACTTCTCCTTCAATCGCACACCTTCCTCCTCCCGTTTTCCACCTTTCTCTCCCTTCATTCCTCCCTTTCCACTTTACCTTCCCTTCCCTTGCCCCATCCCCTTCCCTCACTCCCTCTCTTTCCTCGCCCCATTCCCTCACCTCTCCCTACAGCCCGCCTGCTTCTCTTTCCGCGCACCACTTCTCGTTCAATCGCACACCTTCCTCCTTCCATTCTCTACCTTTTTCTCCCTTCATTCCTCCTTTCCCCCCTTGCCCCATCCCCTTCCCTCGCTCCATCACCCTCCTCGCCCAATTCCCTCCCCTCTCTACGTACAGTCTTCCTGCTTCTCTTTTCCCCTGCCACTTTTTCTTGAACCGTGTACCTTCCTTCTTCCGTCCACTACCTTTCTCTCCCTTTATTCCTATCATCCCACTTTTCCTTCCCTTCCTTTGCCCCATCCCCTTCCCTCGCTCCATCCCCTTCCCTCGCCCCATTTCTTTCCCTCCCCATTTCCTTCCCTCATTCTCCTCGCCCCATACTCTTCCCTCTTCTCTGTCACTCCCCTTACTCGCACCAGCTGCTTTCTCCTTCCCTGAATGCACTCATCTGGCACTTACACACGCACATACCCACATACTACCCTTTAGATAGTCGGCTAGTTCCTTTCATCATTGTGCACTGTTCCTCTGTAACACACACTGCTCTATTTTACGGTAACAAGTCTACCAGCTTTGCATGGCACCGACATGAATTTCAAAGTTCATATGGTTTTGCTGATCAGTAAGCGTGAGGATGAGAAGCGTGCCCCTTAGGACAACAAAAGTCAGCAATGACCGAACTCCTGATGTTGCTCCGCAGAACAGTGTGGCAAAAAGTGAGTACAGTACCAATCAACAACATTGTTGATGGATTATGTAGTGGGCTCAAATGTTGTCGGCCACTAAAGCACAATCATGCCATCTCAGTTTAGTTAGCAACTCCTCAAGTGACAGTGGATCTCTGCCTCCTTTAACTGGGCTACCGGTGCAAACAGAAACTTGGAACCTCTCAAGTGTGAACGTCTTCTTTCCCTCTTTCTGAAGCCCAACTCTGATATCAATCTCCATGAGGTTGAAGAAGAAGCTGGTTTCCCCATTCCCGCAGGTCATTTGATGACACAAAACCATGAAGACGTTGGGCTCCTTGGATTCCATGGCGTACGTAAAGTGGTTTTTTAGCCCAAATAGTGGAGCCAGCTTCTGAGACGATGTATTGAAGATGGCAGAAGTGAGTGTCATGTTTGCTTCCAGATATTGGACAATGTCGCACTGCTCGCTGTCATTCAAAATCATCACAGCGCCTGGTGTCAGATTAGCTACCAGAGTCGTGTACCTTTCCTGGCTTGTACATTTTTGAAGTGGATGCACAATAGAGAGGGCATTGCTCCCCTTGCATCTGATATCCAAGAGTATCACTGACGTTTCCACTGGAGGGGTGAGATCCTCAGGCACATCGGAAGCACTGAAACTGAAGCAGCACGCCATGAAGAGTCGTCGGTAATCAGAGTCGTTAGTGAGCTCGACGGTCTTCAATGAAGGGAAATGGTTTTTGCATTTTTCTCTCCACACGCTCTGACTGTAGGCGATTCTCTTGAAATCCTTGCACACAAGAGAAAAGGAAATCACGTCTGAAGGGGGAAAGTACTGCGTGCAGAGGCTTTCCCATACATGATGAGGCACAGACGATCGATTTTTTTGTGAACTCGACCTCTTCCCCATTGAATGATTGAAAGATCGTGCTATCCACAGAACTGAGACGCCGTTTGACAAGGATACCGTAGAGTGGACTTCGTCAATTGAAAAAAAGAAGCCATTATTCTCCAAGCTTTCTATCCTCGCTCTCATCTGGGTTTTCGTTCGCTGAGTTCTCAAGGTCGAGAGACATTCTGTCGATCGTGAATCGCGCATGTTAGTCGAACGGTAGAGAGAACCTCGAAACCACATCGATCCCAGCGGATACACGCACATATCCTGGAGAATGGCTCGGAGAAGACATCGAGAACATCTCGAGATTGTCTGGTGGGGGATGAGAAATCTAAGATAACTGGCGATTCACCAGTCCGAGATAAGTTATCGAGGTCGCTGGTTAGATTGGTGGTAGTCATGCTCACGAAGATGGGGATTTGGTTTTGACTTCGCCAGAGTTCGTAGAAAGGAGAGAGTTACTCGTCGGGATGAGTTTGATGGGCGAATCTGTATAGACAGAAGTAACCACTCCACACGTTTGGCGAAGGAGTGGGTGATGCAACTTGGCGAAACGAAGTGCTCCATCCTTGACCAATTTTTGCAAAACCTAAAGCTGAAACAAGCAGCAACATCTACGTTCAACCGTAGGAGTATCCTGCTCCTCTGTCCACTAACTCACACACCTAGGGTTAGCCGAGATTAGATGTATTTTTACTAAGAGTTTTCCTGCGTCAACGGGTTCAGATGGGCCAAAATAATGCGCTCGTATGTTGGCCAGAAGCTTGGAACCTAGCAAGGGGTTTGTCGAACTGAATCTCGAAGGAAAGGAAATAGTTTTTCTGCTCACACGATTTTCCCGGATTGACCGTCCAGACTTATTAGCCGTTGAGACCTGTGTAACTTTCATTCTCCGGTTTCTTGGTAGATCTGCTGCTTTGAAACCCGGGGTTGTCTGTTGTTGATTGCCGATGACAAAGATGAGCACCAGGATGATGAAGAGAGACACCAAGGCGATGCGGATTCCGTCAAACGACCTCGCCGATTTCCGCCAAGCGCAACTCACGCACTGACAATCCTTATGCTGCGCTGCTTCGTGTTTCGGCGCGACTGATGCGTCGATTTGAACAAGACAGGTTGCGGGGATTGAGTTGAATGTCGCTTTTGCCTCTGACCCCATTTCGGAGAGCTATCGATGTTGAGGTGATGGTGAAGTTCTGTTGGCTGAGATTCTGCCGCAGGCACTCAGCAGCTCAGGAAGGATTACGGAAGAATACGTTATGTACAGAAGACCCTAACTCTGGCTACAAGAGCTCTCATAAACGATTGTTCTTGGGCCTCTTAGAGAAAGCAAGAAATATATATATTGGCGGAAAACGAACCTTTCGTCAATATTCTCAATGGCTGTCTTGTTCGAGGCGTCCTCTCGAGGCTCACGTTGCATGGTAAGAAACAGGAATCTTGTTGCGACGTGTCTTTTACTCACTGTTGGAGATAACTCTCGCGCCAGTCAACGGACAGACACAATTCTAGAATCCGTGAATGAAGATGAGTGGAGAAGACGGGTCTCGTTCTCCCCGTCACTGAAATTCCAGTCTCGCAAGGAAAAAGCAGGACCAGTTGCTGGACTGGTGCATTCATTGATGTACGCGCTAACAGAACGCGCACGTTCTGCTTACAGGTTCCTCACTCTGAACAAATGGAATAAGAGAATGGGCAAAATCATTGCCTGCTACGCATTCATTAACAAAAACGTGGAAGCCAGGTTCAAAGCATGCTTGGATCCGACAAGGTGGTAAAAAACTGGTAGTAGCAGCCAACTCAGAAAATATATAATCCAAACTGCAGATTTGTCAGCAGCAAAAAAAACCAGGGAATAGGCGTCCTAAATTTGATAAATCCGACCTAGTGATTCACTAGCAGCAGAAGCAGAAGCCGGCCCTACGTGTTGCCTCATAAAGCAAACAGCAAGATTGCGGAGGCGTGGATTGGGGCAGGCGTCAGCAGCAAAGCTATTGATGCTTTCGAGCAGGCTGGGAGTGAGAATTACTGTCATATATGCACGAAAATACACGGGGGGTGGAGAGTGAGTGAACGTTGGAAACTAATTCATGGAAAAAGGCACTACCGTAGGCAGGCACTGGAATGGTCGTTTTATTCTAGCGGAGCATGGATGGTTTGGCATACGTACATGATCGGGTGCGAGGAGTGCAGATGTAGTAAAGGCAGGCAAGTGCAGACAAGGTCTGAAGAGGGGTGACGAGAAAATTGATTTCAAGTATGAAAAGTATGAAAAGGACAGTCAATAGAATCACCGCCCAGACCGTATTAGATGGGAGGAAAATGGAGGGGAAGACGAACATTTGTGTTTGGAACAAGGCAGACTAGACATACATGCACAATCTCGACAAGTATTACCTAAGGTAGGTTAGACAATGACAAAATACACTTGAAACTTGAAACGTGCATTCCACAACGTACAGTGCTCTCAACTGGGCTCGACAAGCAATCGACTATAAGGGGGATGCTGTCCGGCACTGTGGCAATCGCTGATGCATTAACTGGATCTGGGGAAAGCGAGAAAAGACCATGACATCAGAGAAAAAATCAGGGACATATATTTTTATGTTGAATTGCTGCAAATCATTATCCTCCTCATCATAACTCCATATCTTCTCATCATAGACATAACCAACGTTGTGGACATAGCTGCTGATTCACAACCATTGTGGATCATAATCAAGCCTGTCCATTGCACGCAGAGGTTCTTAGGAGTTTCGAGTCGACTCAAAAGTCAGCACGTTGTGGATCATAATCAAGCCAGAGGTTCTTTCAACATAATCACGCTGCACGCAGAGGTTCTTAGGAGTACGCTCTTCTTCAAGTCAGCTTCTGAGTCGACTCAAAAGTCAGCCTGTCCATTGCACGCAGAGGTTCCTAGGAGGACGCTCTTCTTCAAGTCAGTTCCTCTACTCACATCTGAAATCTAACAGTTCTTCATGCTCATGCAACTTCCCCTACCTGCAGCGGCGACTTTTGAGACGTCTCAAAAGTCGTTCTTAGGAGTACGCTCTCTTTTAAGTCAGTTCCTCTATTCACATCTGAGATCTAACCGTTCTTGATGCTCATGCAACTTCCCCTACCTGCAGCGGTATTACAGAGCCCTCCCATGCCAAAGTCAATGAGCTTGGCATTCTCTTTCAAGCAATCCCTTAACTACAAATTAATACCTCTCATTGTCTCTGAATCGTGCACCTCCCCCGCACCTGCAACAGCGTTGCAAAGCCCTCCCATCCCGAAGTCAACGAGCTTTGCATTCTCCTCAGTCAAACAGTCCAGAAATAGCTCCAACACGTTCAGCTGGGCTCAGAATGAGAGGAGAGGAGAGGTTGACGGATACAACACAGGATGCGAATGCCGAGAGCGGAGAGGAGGGGAGAGGAGGGGAGAACAGATGGAAGGGGGGACTTTTGAGTCGACTCAAAAGACACGTTCAGCTGGGCTAGAATGGAAGGAGAGGAGAGATGGACGGATACAACACAGAAGATGCGAATGCAGAGAGACGAGAGGAGTTGAAATTTGTTGGATTCGAAACGCAGCAAGCCTGCTAAGAGTAACGATCTGTAGTACTAAGTCTACTAATCTGAAAGTCGAGGGAAGTAGTGAGAAAGGTCTACTAATCAGAAAGCCAGACACATTAGGCCTGGATGTCGCGTGTGAACGCGTTTCAGCCACCAAAGGCTTTCATCAGCACAGAACGCGTTGACGGATACAACACAGAAGATGCGAATGCAGAGAGACGAGAGGAGGGGAGAACAGATGGAAGGGGGGACTTTTGAGTCGACTCAAAAGACACAGAAGATGCGAATGCAGAGAGACGAGAGGAGGGGAGAGGAGGGGAGAACAGATGGAAGGGGGTTGAGGGAACAATCATGTAAGGACTAAAAAATGCAAACACTTTGCATTGGAGTATTGGAGTACAAAAAAGGCAAGCAGGAGAAGATGCTGTGGTGTGGTACAGTCACATCCATATAGGTAGCGAGTGGAACACCCACCCACCATGTAACATCCATTATAGGTAGGTAAATTCCACACACTTGCATTGGTGGAAAAAAAGAAAGTAGGAAAAACTTATGTGGTGTGGTACAGTCACATCCATATAAGTAGCGAGTGGAACACCCAACCACCGTGTACCTTCCACGTAAGTAGACAAATTCCAAACATTTGCCTCGGAGAAGAAAGGGCAAGTAGGAAAAACTACTGTGGTGTGGTACAGTCACTACCATGCAGGTAGCGAGTGGAACAGAAACCCACCGTGTAGAGTCTCATTATAAAGTGATATCGATTGAATCATAGGCACAATTTTCTAGGTTAAAGTAAAAGATTTCAGGCGTCCCAACACAGGCACACCCACCCAGCTACGATACAGCCACACCCACTAAGCAACAGCCCCTCACCTTGTGGCTTGCAAATGTGTTCACGGTTGATCGGGTGGTGAAGTTGGCTGAATTAAATAACTCTAGCTAGCTTTAAGACGCCTCTATAGAGTCACACCCATCAATAAGGACACACCAACACACACACGGTCGATCAATCACCTTGCGCAGGCAGTGTCATGGCTGATCAGATTGTTGGTGAAGACAGTCACTAGCTTAGCTTCGAGACGTCTCAATACACTCACACGCAATACAATCACACCCATAAAAAAAGTCGCACCCATCAATACAGTCACACCCAGAAGGCGTCAACCACTCACCTGCACAGGTTATCATAACTAAACGGGTCATAGGCGATGATATTGGCCAGGTTGCTTCAATACAACGTTTCAATATATTCGCACAACTTCGATAAAGTCACACCCACACATGTACAATCACCTTGCGCAGGTAGTCAGATGATCGGGTCATAGGCGAAACTGGCCAGACTGCTTATGATTGTATAGTCACACAATTTCGATACAGTCACACCCACACAGCCATAATCACCTTGCGCAGGTGGTCATAGTTGATCAGGTCAAAAGCGAAATTGGTCAGGATGCTTATAAGATGTTTCAATACAGTCACACCCACACAGCTACAATTACCTTCCGGCGGTAGCCATAGTTGATCGGATTGTAGGCGAAATCGACCAGGCTGTTTACAAGACAATTCAGTACAACCGAATTCACAAAGCTATGATCACCTTGCATCATAATTGATCGGGTCATAGGCGAAATTGACCAGGCTGTTTACAAGATGATACCGTACAATCACATTTACAAGATATAATTACCTTACGTAGATAATCATAATTGATCGGGTCATAGGCGAAATTGGCCAGGTTAGCAACAATCTGCTCCTTTGCTTCTGCAAGTAGTGGGAGAAAAACAAAAGGGTGAGTGCGTGTGTGCAGTGGTGAGGAGATTCGGGGGTACGTAGGCTGGCGAAATTGGCCAGATTGGCAACGATCTGCTCCTTCGCTTCTGCTAGCAGTGGGAGGGAGGCAACAGGGTGAGTGCGTGTGTGCAGTGGCGAGGCGAGGAGGAGGGGGAGGCTGGAAACATTGGGTAGATTGGCAACGATCCGCTCCTTTGCTTCTGCTAGCAGTGGGAGGGAGGGAGGCAACAGGGTGAGTGCGTGTGTGCGGTGATGGTGAGGCGAGGAAGAGGGGGAGGCTGGAAACATTGGCCGGATTGGCAACGATCTGCTCCTTGGCTTCTGCTAGCAGCAAGAGAAAGACAAAAGGGTGAGTGCGTATGTGCAGTGGTGAGGAGAGCCGGGGGTAGGGAGGCTGGAAACATTGGCGAGGTTAGCAACGATCCGCTCCTTCGCTTCTGCTAGCAGTGGGAGGGAGGCAACAGGGTGAGTGCGTGTGTGCAGAGGTGAGGAGTGTTGGTGTTAGCCCTCAATCTCACATTTTGTACTTGTACTTTTATATCCTAGTTTAGTGTAGTCTGCACTTTGTGTTTGGTTGGGTGTACACCCACATCCCAACCAAACCCAAATGTAATCTCCAAGCAATCTCCAACCCACCAATTGGAGATTGCCTTGGGATTACCCTTGATTCCCTAGGATTGCCCCTGATTCCCTCCTCATCCTTACCTTGCTCATTTCCGATGTACTTAAAGAGCTTCAGCTCACTACTAATGTATCAGTTCTAAGCCTAAGTTCTGACAAGGAGAGCCGGGGGTACGGAGGCTGGAAACATTGGGCAGATTGGCAACGATCCGCTCCTTGGCTTCTGCTAGCAGTGGGAGGGATGCATGAAGGTCAGTGCATGTTGGAGAGAGGGGGTATGAAAGAGGACACCAGTTAGGCGCCATTGAGTTCGAAAATTCGGTGGTAACCGGTTTCGGCGTACAAGCCTTCTTCGGGATGCTTGAAGGTCAGTGCATGTTGGAGAGAGGGGGTATGAAAGAAATCAGAGAAACGGGAAGGAGTGGGGATGGAAAGGGGGGTGGGGGGATTGGAGGAGAGGGGAGGAGGGGAGGAGGGGAATGGAGGACAAAGAAGGGGAGTAGAAGTGGGAAGACAAGATTGGGAGACAGGAAAGCGGAGGAAGAGAAGGAGTGGTGAAAGAAGAGAAGGGAAGGAGGCAGGGACACAGATAGAACAAGTAAACCTGGAAGCAGACGAGAAATATCAAACACACGCAGAGGACAGAAGAATGCATTGTAAGGCTAATTCATTCCAGAGTTGACTTTTGAGTCGACTCAAAAGTCAACTCGGTATAATGTCAGAAGAACGCATTGTTAGGCTAATTCATTCCAGAGTTGACTTTTGAGTCAACTCAAATGTCAACTCGCTATAATGTCAGAAGAATGCATTGTTAGGCTAATTCATTCCACCTTTTGAGTCGACTCAAAAGTCAACTCGGTATAATGTCAGAAGAATGCACTGTAAGGCTAATTCATTCCAGAGTTGACTTTTTGAGTCGACTCAAAAGTCAACTCGGTATAATGTCAGAAGAATGCACTGTAAGGCTAATTCATTCCAGAGTTGACTTTTTGAGTCGACTCAAAAGTCAACTCGGTATAATGTCAGAAGAATGCACTGTAAGGCTAATTCATTCCAGAAAAAAACACAAGCTCTGTCCTGGTGAACGACATAGTGTCTGGAACCTTCGTCTCACCTTCGCTTTCAGTTGTCTGGAACTCAGTGACAAGTGCCTGCTCACAAGGCAAACAGGGGACCGAGGGGAGTGCATGGGAAAGAAATCAGATGTCCTTTGACATCTCACCCTCGCTTTGAATCGTCTGGAACTCAGTGACAAGCGCCTGCTCACAAGGCAAAGACCGGAACAAAGGGGTGGGATATACCGGAACACATGGGATAGGGGAAATGGTTGTTTGCAAGGGTGGTCTGGAACTCAGTGACAAGCGCCTGCTCACAAGGCAAGAGCGGAACAACAGGTTGGGATTTAACGGGGGGAAAGGTGATGAGGGAAATGAAAGTGATGAAGGTTGCTTGCAAGGATGGTTTGGAAGTCAGTGACAAGCGCCCACTCAGTGACAAGCGCCCACTCAGTGACACAAATGGATGGGTTGCGTGGAGCTTGATGACCCACGCCTCACCCCACGAGTGAGAGATTGCGGGTAGAGGGACAACTTTTGAGGCGCCTCAAAAGTCGTCTCTCTCTACCCGCAACTTCTGAACGGTTGTTGGCCGTTTAGACCCCACGAGTGAGCGGGGAAGGCAAAAGTGAAGTTTCCGCGTTGCAGGCGTGGCAAGAAGTCAGAGGTGAGAACGAGCGGGTATACCTCGAGTAGAACGCGTTTTGAGACGACTCCAAAAGGCAAAAGTGAAGTACCCGCGTTGCAGGCGTGGCAAGAAGTCAGAGGTGAAAACGAACGGGTATACCTCGAGTAGAACGCGAGCGAATCTTACCTGAAGGTACTCAAGACGCGGCGTGCCGCTCCTTCCCTGTCGCCTGCCTCTTGGTCCTCCTACCTCCCGAATAGACTCATGATCCCGAGCCCCACGCAATTCCGAACAGACTCATGATCCCGAGGCCCACGCAATTCCGAACAGACTCATGATCCCGAGCCCCACGCAATTCCGAACAGACTCATGATCCCGAGGCCCACGCAATTCCGAGCAGACTCATGATCCCGAGCCCCACGCAATTCCGAACAGACTCGTAAAAAGACAGAGTAGAATGTTAACGAGTCTTACCTGTATGTACTCAAGACGCGATGTTCCGCTCCTCCCCTGCCTCTCCGTCAATCGCTCTGCGGTGCTAAACATGGTCTTGCGTGTTGTAAGGGCGTTTTACTCTCTAGAGCGCTCCGCTCCGGTAAACCTATGACGTTCCAGTCCTTCCCTGTCTATCGGACAATCGCGCCACCGCGCTAAACATGGCTGTGCGACTTCGAATCGCGATATGATTCAGAGGAGTTACTACAGCTTTCCGGTCGCCTGCCGCCGCTGCTACATCCAACCGCGTTTCGTTTCCCCGTCATGCTAAAGACGATTTGACGTTATTTATCTCGATATGATTCAGAGGCGTTCCGCTGCAGCGATCTTACGATGCTCCGTTCGCCTGCCGTATCTGCCTCATTCAACCGCGCCGCGTTTCGCTCCCGTGGTAGCCATAACTCTACAGGCGATCCGATCCTTGAGGCGCTTCAAAAATCAACCTACGACGTTCCGCGTAGCCTACAACGCTCGGATCGTCTCTGGTGGTCTCACTTCCATTCAACCGAACCGCATGTGATTTTTGAGTCGACTCTGGATCAGCCTACGCCGCTCCGATCGACTCTGTTATCAGATGCATGAAATCTGAATTCAAATGTATACTGAAGCTGCCGCCAGCGTCGCTGCGGTGCTCAACATGAAATCCTTCCCTACCTGCTTCCTGTGTCTAGAGTTCACGCTTCCTGCAGAACACGGCGGGTAACGGTCGGGGTGTCAGGATGTCAGGAGGAGCTCTGACGTTGTGCGTGGGCCGTTATTAAGGAATTCGTTTACACGCAATGATCGACTATTTTGTTGAAAAGGTCACTGCTTAAAGTAGAAAACGTGCTGACTGGGTCCATCTAGGTGGGCTGGAGGGGCCACTGTCCGTGTCAAAAGGCCTGGAAACTAGGCATTCTGAAAGTTGCAACTTCGTATGGCTTCCTTGATCATGCAGCATGAACAAGACGCACGAGAAGAACTGAGCATCAACATCAAGCTGGACTAGAAGTCCTGCATCCTATGGAAATTGCTCTGCATATGCTTTCATACATTTCTCCATTCAAATGCAAGGATTATGGCCATAAGTGATTTTTTCAACAACATTGTTGATGGGTAATGATGCAGTACACAGGCTCAGATGCTATCGGCCCCTGAAGCACAATCATGCCATCTCAGCTTAGTCACCATCTCCTCAAGTGACAGTGTACCGGTATATGGGTTAACAGTACGAACAGAGATAATGATTTTCTCAAGTGTGAAGGTCCTCTTTCCCTCCTCTTGAAGCCCAACTCTGATCATTATCTCCATGACGCTGAAGAAGAAGCTGCATGAGGTCATTTGATGACACAAAACCACGAAGACGTTGGGCTGGCCAGATTTAGTTGCTAACGTGTGGTGGTTGAGCCCATATAGAGGAGCCACCTTTAAAGATGATGAATTCAAAATGGCAAAAGTGAATGCCATGTTTGGTTTAAGGTATTGGACGATGTCGCATTGCTCGATGTCATTCAGAACCATCACAGCGTCTGTCAGATCAGCTGCCAGGGTCCAGTACTTCTCCTGGCACTTGCACTTTTGAAGTGGATGCATAATGGAAAGCACATTGCTCCCCTTGCAGCTGATATCCAGGAGTATTACAGACGTTTCCACTTGAGGGGTGAGATCAGGCACATTGGAAGGACTGAAACTAGAGCAGCACGCCGCGAAAAGCCGTCGGTAATCAAAGTCGTAAGTGAGCTCGACGGTCATCAATGAGGGAAAGTGTTTCCTGCATTTTTCTCTCCACACTCTCTGACTGTAAGCAACTTCTTTGAAATCCTTGCACACTAGAGAAAAGGATATCACGTCCGACGGAGGGAAGTATTGCGTGCAAAGGCTTTCCAACACATTATGAGGCACGGACGCTAGAGTTTCTGTGACCTCGTACCGCTCCGCCATGGAATGCCTCAAGAACCTGAATTCAGAGCTACTCAAAAGCAGCGAGACAGCGTGCTTGGTAAAAATGGAACCTGGAATGGCTTGCCCGATGACAATTTATCCATTTCTTTTCCTAATTGCCTGTGCTCGCTCTCGTCGCGTGTTTCAGTCGATGAGTTTCCAAGGTGGAAGGAAAATTTCTGTCGACCATGATGAATCTCGCATGTTAATCGAACGGTCGAGAGGATCTCGAAGTAACACTCATCCTAGCGAGTCCACGCACACACCCTAGGGAGAAGGGCATCGAAACCTGCCGATAAGTTATCGGGATCATCTCGAGAATGGCTGGTGGTGGATGAGAAAGTTGAGATAACTAGCCATTCAACAGCTCGGAGCTTGTTTGGAGATCCCCACCCAGCAACCCGATAACGTTTTCGCGAAAATTGGTGGTGAGGGAGGTCTGGAACATAACTCGCTTTGGTGGTGTTCGCAAAGACTATAATGTTACACGTTGTGATGACTTGATTGGCTCATGAAGTAGAGACGAAAACACTTACTTCGTATCCATGTGTAACGAGACAATTTGCAATTTGGCGAAACGACATCCTATATCTTCCTTCCCAGCAGCTTCAGAACGGCTTCAGCTTGGACTGGGGATCGACCAGAAGTTTGCTGATCCGTTCTCTGACTCAGAATCAACTCTAAACAATCATACCAAACAATACTGGTGTTTGGAATGTCTGAAAAAAACAGTCAAGACTAGGGCACGCCCCGTTCTTAGCTATCGGTAGTCGTGCACTGCAAACACATTCGAAGTAACCCCATCCATGGCTTATAACAAGCATGCCTCTATCGAATATGCATATGCATTAAACAAACCGGCCTCTCTTGAACATGCCTTTGGCTCATGTCTTGGGAACGAGAGGCCAAGGGTATCCCTTAGCCCAATCGTGACCTTTGGGTAGTCCGTCCAAGCACTGGTGGTTGCAGGGGCGGGAGGGGGGCAGAAAATGATGTCTTAAAGTGCACTGCACACACACTTGGAAACCAGTGCCTTTGCCTCATGTCTTGGGAACGAGAGGCCACGGGTATCCCTTAGCCCAATCGTGACCCTTCGGTAGACCGTCCAAGCACTGGTGGTTGCCGGGGGAGGGTGGATTGGGGAGGGAGGGTGGATTGGGGAGGGAGGGTGGGTTTCAGGGCGGGAGGGTAAGAGGGGTTAGACATTTAAAAAAATGCTCAAATGATTCCATAATGACCAGACAACATGCACGACTCACATGCACACACACGCATGACGGACACACCATGCACATCTGAAGAAGCTTGTTCCAAGCAGCGAGCAGAACAAAACAAGAGCAATCGAATTCAAATTCTGACAAGAAGAATCTGCAGCCATACCTGGAAAGGGATGAAGTTCCGCCAGTAGCGGTAACCCTTCTTGGGCGGCGGCGGCGGATTCCCCGTGATCTGTACAAAATCCGATACGATTTCCGCCGGTGGGATCATAACCGTAACTCCCGGCACCCCAGGATGCCTGAAAGCCGGCACACCCACCCCTGCACCTTTCCTCCCTCCCCTAGAACTCGCATTATGCCCCCCACCACCACCAGCAGCAGAACCAGCAGCAGAGTTAGCTGCAGCTGCTGCAGCGGCGGCGGCAGCAGCAGCGGCAGCACCGGCTACCCAGCCTAGATCCATGGATCGCCATGTTCGCTTTTCTACCCTCTCTGCTATGCGGGAGCTTCTTCGTCTCTTTGGTACAGACCCTGGTGCTCCTCCTGCTGCTCCTCCTGCTCCTCCTGCCCCCCCTGCTCCCCCCCCTGATCCCCCCCCTGCAGACCCAGCTGCCGTGGCAGTAGCAGAAGGAGATGAATTTGCGAATGCCCCTAATCCGGTTGCTTCTAGGCCCCCAGATAGCCCTGCTAGAAACCACTCAGACCCACCCATCCCCAACCCTCTCTCTGCCTCCTCCTCATCCTCCCACATCCCCATCCCATCGTCCTCCTCCCCATCTTCCCCATTCCCATACTCCCCAAACATCCTCCTGCGTTTCCGAGCCTCTTTTCTTCTCATCCGAGCCTGTCCCTCCTTGTAATCCCCAGGAAAATCCTCTTCCGAGTCTTTATCCGAGCCTTCTCCCGAGCCTCCCTCCACCCGCTCCTTCCCTCTCCTTCTCCTGTCCCTCTCCACTCTCTCAGCCTTCTCCTCTCCACCCTCCCTCTCCCTCTCTCCACCCCTAGCGTCTCCATTGCCATGCTCACCCGCCCCTAATCTCCTCTCTTCTTCCATCCGTCCCTCCGCAATCGATTCCCGCCTATCTCTCCTCACTAGAGAATCGAATCGGATCTTGTCTGAATTTTGCCAAATCCCAACGCCTCCTCTCCTCTTCTCCCCATCTCTCTCTTCCTTCTCCTCCTTCTCCTCCTCCTCGCCCCCCTCCTCCTCTCTCTGCTCCTCAGCTTGCTCCTCTGCCTGCAGAGAAGCAAGCACAGTTCGATCCACATCCACAAGTCGCCTCTCTCTCTCCTTCTCCCTCTCTTTCTCCTTTTCCTTCTCCCTATCTTTTTCCCTCTCCCTGTCCCTCTCCCTCTCCTTGTCCTTCGTCTTATGCTTGACCTTCTCCTTCTCTCTCTCCCTCTCCGTTCTCTCCTTCTCCCCTCTCTCCTCCCCTCGTTTCTTTTCCATATCGTGTGCCTCCTGATCCTCGCCTAACAAACCAGCAACTCTGCCTGCTGCCCCTCCTTCTCCTCCTATTTCTGCTCCTGCTGCTCCCGCAGAAATTCTCAACCTGCCTTCTTCCTCCTCTGCCGATCTACCTTCCCTCCGCTCCTCCCCTCCCTCCACTCTCCCATGCTTCTTCAGCTTCTTCTCCCTCCTCTCCTCCCCTTCATGCTTCCCTTCCCTCTTGCTCTCCCCCTTCTCTTCCTTCCTCCCTTCAACCTTACTCTCTCCCTTACCCTCCCTTCTCTCCTCCCCTTTCTCCCCCCCTCTCCCCTCTCGATCCTTCTCATGCCTCTTCTTTTTTTTCTTCTTCCCCTCCTTGTCCCTTTTCCCAACCCCCTCTCCTTCCACCCCCTTCTCCTTCTTCCCCACTCCTCCCGCACTCGCCCTCTCCCTCTCCCCCTCTCCCTCCTTCCCCTCCTTAAGGCTCCTACCAAAACCGTCAATCTGCATTCCCAACGCACCATTCGCAGCACGAGCAGCAGCAGAGGCAGCATCACCAGAAGCAGCACTACCAACAGCAGCAGCGCCAGCGATCCCACCCTTACTATACGCCCCCTGCTCTTTCTCCTTCTCTTTCTCCATCTCCTTCTCTTGCATTTGCTCACGACCCGAAAACACCATCGGAGGATGGAGAAGCGATGAGGGAGGCAGGGACAGGAGAGGTTTCGAAGACTGCCAATCAGCCTCCCTCCTTTCCACCACCAAGCCACCCCCCTCCTTTCGGCGAACCCCATCCTCGGATCGAGCAGCCAGGCCATTGCCAACCAGCACATTTTCCTGTGCTGCCAACAGAGACCGTGACAGAAGGGGAGGCACCAGACCAATCTTTCTATCCTCGAATTCTCCCCTTGGCTCTTCCAGATTCAAGTCAAAAGGTCGATTGAAAGGCACGGTCGGTTCCATACCCGGCTGCTGCATGCCCCTGCTGTTGCTGCTGCTTGGGAGAGGAAGCTTCTCAGAAGGTTCAGAAGGTTCTGCTGCAAGAGGCAGAAGCTCATCCATGCCTGCAGGGGCTACCCCGACCCACCCGTTCGCCGCCTCCAGTTTCCTGAGGGGGCAAGAGAAAAAGGGAGATCAGGAGAGAGGCGGGGGGGGGGGGGGGGGGGGGGGGGGGAGGGGGGGGGGGTACGAAGGGGACCGAGGCAATGAGCAAGATTCATCAGCAGAAGCTCATCCATGCCTGCAGGGGCTACCCCAACCCACCTGTTCGCCGCCTCTAGTTTCCTGTGGGGTCGAGCAAAGGGAGTGATGAAACGAATTGGGATGGAACCGAGACGCATAAGAAAGGAGAGGAAGACGCTCATCCATGCCTGCAGGGGCTACCCCGACCCACCCGTTTGCCGCCTCCAGTTTCCTGTGGTATCATAGACAAATCAACCACAGTGCACACCTTCTCTTCTTCATAGGCAGTTGGGGCGGGGGTTGCCCCGTGATCGCCCTGAAATCCTCCTCCACCTCCTCCGGAGTGAGAGTGATCGACACACGCACGCACGGCCGCTGTGTTATAAGCCGACTCAAAACACAATTTAGAAACACGTGAGCCCACCTTCTCTTCTTCATAGGCAGTTGGGGCGGGGGTTGCCCCGTGATTGCTCTGAAATCCGCCTCCACCTCCTCCGGAGAGAGAGTGATCGACACACGCACACGCGGCGGCAGCACTGGGGGAAGAATGTCACGTGGCGGCGCCAACTCCTTCCAGGAAGGTTCCTCACTCGAGGAGTCCAGGCGTGGCGGCAGCACAGGGGGAGGGACGTCATGTGGGACCAGCTCCTGCCGGGAAGGTTCCTGAGTCGAGCCAAAACGGAAGCCCTGGGACTCCAAGCAAGGATCTTCTTTAGTTGACTTGAGAGGCAGTGCTTGGGAATCCACGCAGGGAGGTGGCACAGTGGGAGGCAGGTCACGCGGCGCCAGCTCCTTCCGAGAATCTTCTTGTGATGACTCGAATGCACTCTTAGGCAGCCCTACAGAAGGAGATTTTTGCAGATTTTGTCTCGAGTCGATGGGGAGGGGTTGAGAGACTAGAGGAAGGTCCTGAGGCTCTAGGAACGGAGGTGCTAGGGAGAGGTTGAGAACAGGAGCGGTGGAGTGAGGGATGGAGGGTTTTTGAGGCGCCTTGGGTTTAGGCTCGGAGGATAGGTCCGGCACAGATTTGGATGGGAGGTCAGGGGCAGGTGCGGTGGAGTGAGAATTACAGGAACGGGGAGGAGGAAATTCAGGTTTGGGGAGGTGGGAAGTGGAAGGGTGGGAGGTGGGAAGGTGGGCGGAGGAGGGACGCGGAAGAGATGACGCAAGGGGAGGGATCCCTGGGAAGGGGATGATTGCTGCTGAGTCTTTCCCAGTTGACTCAATTGTTCTTGTTGCTGGTGGTTCAGCTGGTGGTTTAACAGCAGTAGCTGAAGCAGCAGGTTCTGCTGCTACTGCTGCTGTCGATTCAAGTGCTGTTGAAACTACTGCTGCTGCTAAATCAACTCCGGCTGTAGAGGGAGGGGTGATTGCAGGAGGGAAGGCAGACGCAGCAGCTGCTGCTGTCTCAACTGCTGCTGCTGTTGCCTCTGATGCGATCCTAAGAACTCCTTTTTGAACCTCAGCCTTTGAATCTTGTGGTATGCCTGTTGCTGTATGGACTGCTGCTACTGCAGCTGTGTCAACTGCTGAGTTCTCTGCCATCTTTGGTGTTGCTGCTGGTGCCCCTGCCATCGCCAGAGTGGCTGCTGTTACAGCCTTTTTACCTTGTGGTACGGATGTTTCCGTAGCAGGAGGGATGGCGGCTGTAGCAGGAGAGATGGCAGATGAAGCAGGAGCGGTGGCAATAGTACCAGGATGAGGAGTGGCAGCCGTGGCAGCAGCAGTGACAACTGTATCAGGAGGGGTGACGGCATTAGCAGGAGCGATGGCGGCTGTAGCAGGAGAGATGACAGATGAAGCAGGAGGGTTGGCAACAGTACCAGGATGAGGAGTGGCAACCGTGGCAGCAGCACTGGCAACTGTATCAGGAGGGGTGACGGCATTAGCAGGAGCGATGGCGGCTGTAGCAGGAGGGATGGCAGATGAAGCAGGAGAATTGGTGGGTGATTCAGAAGGTTTGGCAGCTGCGGCAGAAGGGGTGGCGGCTGTAGCAGGGGAAATCGCAGCTGTAGCAGAAACGGTGGTAGCTGGATCAGAAGGGGGGAGAGATGTGGCAGCGGGAGTGGCGGCTGCAGCAGGAGGATTAACAACTGTAGCAGGAGGCTTGGCAACCGTGGCAGGAGCAGTGGCAGCTGTAGCAGGAGGGGAAACAGCTGTAGCAGGAGGGGAAACAGCTGTAGCAGGAGGGGTGGCAGATGCAGCAGAAGCAGCAGCATTTGCAGCAGGGGGTTTGGCAGCTGTAGCAGGAGCGGTAACAGCTGTAGCAGGATGGGTGGCAGATGTAGCAAGAGGAGATTTGGCAGCTGTAACAGTAGGGGTGACAGCTGTCGCAGGAGAGGTGGCGGCTGTAGCAGGAGTGGAGGCAGCAGTGGTAGGAAGAAGGGAGACTGAAGCAGCAGGAGTCGCGGCTGTCGCAGGGGATGTGGCAGATGCAGCAGGAGGAGACGTGGAAGGGGGGGTGGAGGCTGTAGCACGGGGGGTGATGGCGGCTGTTACAGAGGGAGTGACGGCGGCTGTAGCAGCAGGGAGGGGAGACGCAATAGATGGTGTGAGAACAGCAGCAGGAGAACTGGCCGGAGTTGGGGCAAGGGAAGTAGCACCTGTAGCAAGGGCGGTGGCGGCTGTGGCAGGAGAAATGGCGGCTGCAGCAGGGGGAGTGACGACTGTAGCTCTGGCAGTGGATGCTGTTTTCACAGAAGCAATCCCTGCAACAGCAGCAGCAGCAGCAGCAGCAGCAGTAGTGGCGGCTACTGTAACAGTACTATTAGTAGCAGCAGTGGTAGTAGTCACAATGGCTTTAGCAGGAAAATCATCAGTAGCACAAGCAGCAGTGGTGGTGGTGGGTTCAGCGGGAGGAATTTTTGCAGCAGCAGCAATATTAAGAGGAGGAGGCAGAGCAGGGGCTGATGCAAGGGCCGAAGCAGGGGCAGCAGAGGGAGAAACAACAGAAGGAGCAGAAACCGTGGCAGCACGGGCAGGAGTAGAAGAAGCAGCAGGGGCAGGAGCAGGCGCAGTTGGAGGAACAGCAGCAGCAGGAGAGGCAGCAGGAGCAGGAGCAGCAGCAGCAGGAGCAGCAGCAGGAGCAGGAGCAGGAGCAGGAGCAGGAGCAGGAGCAGGAGCAGAAGCAGGAGCAGGAGCAGGAGCAGGGATAGCAGTTGTAGCAGGTGTAGCATCGGCTGCAGGGGTGGACACTACAGTGGGAGCAAGGGAGGGAGCTGAAACAACAGGGAATGATGCAGAAGCGGCAGCAAGGGTACAAGCAGGGGCAGCAACAGAGACAGGAGCGGGGACAGTAGCAGCGGCAGAAGCAGGGACAGAAACAGGTGCAGAAGCAGAGGCAGAAGCAGAGACAGGAGCAGAGACAGAAGCAGAGACAGTTGCAGGGGCAGAAGCGGTGACAGAAGCAGGGGCAGAAGCAGAGGCAGAAGCAGAGACAGCTGCAGGGGCAGAAGCAGGGGCAGAAGCAGGGGCAGAAGCAGGGGCAGAAGCAGGGGCAGAGGCAGGGGCAGAAGCAGAGACAGGAGCAGGGACAGCAGCAGGAGCAGCAGGTTCAGCAGCAGAGGCAGGGGCAGAAGCAGGAACCGCAGCTGGAGCAGTTGTAGCAGCTGTTGCAGCAGCGACGGCTGTAGCAGGAGGACCCACTGGAACAGGCGGAGCCCTAGCTTCAGGAAAGGATGAAGAAGATGCTGTTTGGACTGCTGTAGCGGCTGTGGTGGCAGTAGTGGCTGTAGCCGCAGCAACAACAACAGCAGCAGCGGCAGCAGGGGCAGAAGCCGAAGCAGCTGCAGCAGCAGCAGAAACGCCACTAGCTGCTTCTGGGGATGAAACCATGACTGGGGTCATCGCTACAGCCCCACCAGATGCAGCATCTGGGAAGAGCTTTACTGCCTCTCTCCCCTTCTCCTCCTCTCTCTTTCCGGTCTCCCTTTCACTTCGGCCCTTACCTCTTCCCAACTCATCTCCCCCCTCTCCCTTATCCCCTTCCTTAACCTGCTCTCTTTCCCCTGCTACTGTCACATCAGCCAACCCCTTTATCCCTTCGTCCATATCACCACCCTTTGAAAGCACACGCTCAGGCTCAGCTCTCAATTGCCGCCCCTCACCATCCAAGCCCGCTTCTCCCGTCAACTCCTTCTGAACATCCTTTTTCTCCTTGCTCTCCTCCTTTGGTTCAGCACGCTCCTGTCTCTGCCCATCCCCAACCCCTGATTTCGCTCCTGCTATCTCCTTTGGCCACGTCGCCCCACCTCCCTTGGATTGAGCATGCTCCTGCTCCCGACCATCCCTATCCTTTCCAAGCTTCCCCTTTTCCTCTTGATTCGACTCGCAAGTCACCTCGCCTTCCTGTTCACGCATCCCCTTCCCCTCCTCCCCACCCTCCTCCTTTCCTTTCTCCTTTGCAATCTCCTCTGCTTTCGCCTTTGCTGTTTCCGCTGCTTTCCCCGTTGTATTCCCTTCCACTTCCTTGATTTTCTGCCCCACCTTCGCCTCTTCTTTCTCCTCCGTGATTTCCCCCATCCATGCTTTCTTCTCTGATTTCTCCTCTTCTTTCTCCTCCGTGATTTCCCCCATCCATGCTTTCTTCTCTGATTTCTCCTCTACTTTCTCCTTCGCCTCTTCTTTCTCCTCCTTGCCCTTCCCCATCCCTCCTTTCTCCTCTGCTTTCTCCTTCGCCCCTACATTCTCCTCCTTGCCCTCCCCCGTCCCTCCTTTCCCCTCTGCTTTCTCCACCCTGCTCTCCACCGTCCCTCGTTGCTCCCCTTGTCTCACTCCCTCCCTCCTCTCCTCCTTCACTTGGTCACTATCCTTCAACCCCTCCTTCTCCCCCACGTTCTTTTCCTCTCTCACCTCTTCTCTTCCCTCTTCTCTATCTCCTTTCTCATCATCACCCCCCTTCCCCTTCCCCTTATTCTCCTCCCTCCCTTCCCCTTTCCTCGCCTCCCTCCTCTCCCTCTTCTCCTTCCTCTTCCTCTCCTTCCTCTCCTCCCTCCTCCTACCCTCATCCTTCTCATCCTTCCCCTCCTTCTTCCCCTCCTTCCTCCCCTCTCTCCTCCTCTCCTTCTCCTCCTTCTCCTTATCCTCCCTCTTCCTCTTCGCCTCCTTCCCTTCCTCACTCTTCTCCCCCCGCCCTTCCACACTCCTCCTCCTCTCTCCCTCCTCCAGACTATTCACCCCTGGACTGGCCATACTCGCTATAGACTGACCCGGGCTTCCTTTTGAACAGCCGTTTATATTCACAGACATGTCAATACTCCCTCTAACCTGATCTGAGCTTTCGACCGGCTGTTCAGCATATTTCACACCCTCAACAGGGCTCCGTACCCGTTCCCCAAGTCTCTTCTCCTCAGGACTCTTAAAATCGGCAGGACTCTGCAATTTTCCAGGACTCTGTAAATCGCCAAGACACTTTTTCTCCCCAGGAATCTGTAACTCACCAGGAGTCATTGTATCGCCAGGACTCTTTTTCTCCTCAGGACTCTGAAAATCGCCCGGGCTCCTCAAAACCTCCGGACTTCTCATATTATCAAGGCTTTTGACTTCATCAGGACTTTTCATAGCATCCTTTAAGGGCTTCGCTCCTGGATCGGGGCTCATCATGCAGTGCTCAGGGCTCTTAAAGCCCTTCTCTCTGACCTCCGATCCTTTTCCTGAGTGTCCCGGGCTCAAAAGAGGCTGCTCACTCCTCTTCTCCCGCTTCTCTTCCTTTTCCCTCTTCTCCTTCTTCTCTTTCCTCTCTTTCGACTTCACATCCTGTCCTTCCTCGGTCTTCCTCTCCTTACTCTTCCCCTCTCCTTTCTCCTCTGCTCTCCTTTCCTCCCTCCTCTCTCTCTTCCTCTCTTTCCGCCTCTCCTCGTCCTTTTCATCCCTCTTTCTCCTCTCTTTCTTCCTCTCCTCTTCATCTCCTCTCTTCTCCCTCTTCTCTGGTCTCTCTTCGCCTCGGCTCACCTCTCCTGTCTCATCCTTCCCCTTCTCTTCTTTCTTCTCATCCTTCACCTTCCCTTCCTTCTTCTCATCCTTGTCCTTTCCTTCCTTCCTCTTTTCGTCCTTCTTCTCCTTCCGCTCTCCATCCTTCTCTTTCCTCCTCTCCTTCTTTTGTTCACCCCCCTCCCTCTTCTCCTCCCTCTTATCCTTCTCCTTCTCCTTACTCTTCTTCGTCTCTTCCTCCCGAATCTCTCCTTCCTCCCCTGCTTCAACGCCTCTTCCTTTCTCCTTCCCCTTTTTGCACTCGTCAGCAGCAATCTCTCCCTCCTCCTCCTCTTTTCTCACAATCTCCTCTTTCCTTTCGTTCTCCTCTTTCCTCTCCTCTTCATTCCCCACTTTCTGTTTCCCCTCCCCCTTCACCTCACCACGATTCACTTCCTCCTTTTCCCTCTCCTCGCTCTTCTCTCCCTTCTCTTTCTTCTCCCCCCCCTCTTCCTCATGCCCTTTTCTCTTCTCATCCCCCTCCTCGATCTTAGCCCTCGTCTCCCTTCCTTTCTTCTGCAGATCCTCCTTCCCTCCCGTTCCCTTCCCCTCCTCCCTCTTCTCCTTCTTCTCTTTCTTCTCCTTCCCGTCCTTTCCGCCATTCTCCTTCCCCGCCTCCACCGTCGCCCCTTTCTCCTTCTCCTCCTTCCCTTTCCCTCTATCCTCCTCCCGCTCCTTCCCATTTCCCCTCGCATCCTTTCCCTCCTTCTCCTCCTCCCCTCCTTTCCCTCGCTCCTCCCTCTGTCCCTCCGCCTTCCCTTCCTTCGTATCCCGTCGCTCCTTCCCCTCCTCCTCCCCTCCTTTCCCCTTCTTTCCGCCCGTCTCCTTCTCCTTCCTTGCGCCTTCGCTTGTTGTCTTTCCCAGTCCCACCATACCAATCACCTTCCCATCCATCCCTTGCTTCCCTCCCTCTTTCCCTTCTTCACCTCTCCCCCCGCCCTTCGGGTTCTTTCCCTTTCCATCCTTGTCCTCTCTCTCCCCCTTATCGCCTTTCGTCGTCCCCCCTTTATCACCTTTCATTGTCTCCCCTTTATCGCCTTTCACCGCCTCCTCTTTATCGCCTTTCAACGTCTCCCCCTTACCACCTTTCATCATCTCCCCTTTATCGCCTTTCATCGTCTCCCCTTTATCGCCTTTCACCGTCCACCCCTTATAACCTTTCAACGTCTCCCCCTTATCGCCTTTCACTGCCTCCCCCTTATCGCCTTTCACCGCCTCCCCTTTATCACCTTTCTCCCTCCCTCCCTTCTCAGCCTTCTCCTCCGCTTCTTGATCCCCTTTTTCCGGCCCTTTACTCCCTAACTCCTTCCTCGATTGCTTCTCTTCGCCTAACTCTTTAGTCTCCACGTCAGCATGATTTCCGCTCATCATGGCTGAATCTCCGGATGCGTTACAATCACCATCAATGCCACGCGCGGAGTTTCCCCTTCCGGAAAGTTGAACACTCCCGCGACTTGCTTCCATGTATACGCGTTACAATCCGGGTGACTCGTTGTAAGACCGCTGTCTCGGTATAAGCTGGTTGACTTCTCCGCTAAGCACGCGACCACAGCTGCGGCGTAGAATGGTTACTTCTCTTCTTTACCGAGAGGACTAATAAACATGTCATCTGTTGGCTGAGACTATCGAACACTCGTCTCCTTACTTCCCGGCGGGCGTTCGGGCTCTTGGAATATAAAGCACGAGTCTCAATCGATGCGCGAAGCTTTTTCCTAATAGAGTCGATGCAAGCCGACACGGGCGATAAAAACGACTGACGGCGGCCAGGGCTCGCGACGGGTAACAACGTTACTGCTGTCATTCAGATCCGCGTCCGGACGAACGGCGAGAGATTCCTCTACCGCAAATACGGCCAATGCGTACAGAGATTACGGACAGACGGAGGCAGAAATAACGGACGCAGCTACGCAGGGGCTGCAGACGGAAAACGTGACGAGTCTGATGAAGATGGACGGACTGGGAGTTGTGTGGAGAAAGGAAATCCCAAGGGAATCCGCAACAGAACGAAAAGCTTCCCTTGCGATTCTCTCGGCTTTGATGGCAGGGGAGGGGGGAATTCCCAAGGGCAGGTTGTGGTCCAGCAATTATGGCATTTCACGCATAATGTTTTGATGAACACTGTACTCGTAAAACTCGACCAGATTTCATACAGTATAGCGGGTATGCTCCTGAGTGATTTCAAGAGTTGGATATGTCAGATCCGCCAATCCCGAGGGTTTCGGGGACTCGCAGCTCATGTGAAATGGCGCCAATCATCGCACTACAAATGAAGTGTGTTTCATACATTGTACAAGTCAATTTTGATTTTAAATACACTTAAAGTGCACGACTTCAATGGATATGCTGTGCAAATGGTACAACCATCCAATGCAGACCATATGAACATGAAGCGCAGAAAGAACACTGAAATCTGCAACACACAAATGACAACCAAGTATAACTAATGGGCATACTTCACTTTTCATGCCCAATCAAAGATTGTCACTGTCAGGTAGACACCATCCTTCTATGCTCGAGCTGCAGTTCCGGTCTAATGTCAATTGAACATGCCAGGTGAGGGGTCTGTCACGTCATGTCATATCACCTGTGATGTGATGATCCTTCCGCCGCTTATTATGTACTTGAGAGTATTCATCACTTCACGGTTTGAGGTTGAATGGGTCGCTGACCTGGTGGTACCACAAATCCAGCCACACATCTGGAACTCCTGGCAAGCACCACTTAGCACAGTCCATTTCTGTCGAACCTCCCGCCGGTCTATACGTCCCCACGTGTGCATCCGCCCTATAGAGCGACAGCGACAAGATGTTAAGCAGCTTCACCCGAGATTTCGATAACGCATTGATTTGCGCGTTGGTCCACGCGACAACGCTGCTCCGCGCCTTGGCTAGATCCGTGGCTGTACTCGACAAAGGTCCCGCGAAAAGCGCGCAAGTGGTGTCGGCGTATTGGAACATGTTTGGCATGTGCGCGGGCGGGATGGAGAGCGCGTAGGGCTGAACCAGCATGACGTTGGACTTGATGTAATCTGCGATGTTCCGCAGCACTATGTTGAGTGCCGCGATGCCGCTGGGCTGCGAGGCAATCGCCCGGCCCTTGCTGTAATACGTGCGGTTGGAGGATTCCTGGAGGAGGAGAGGGATGGGGAGAGGAGGGGGGGAGGGTGGGGAGGGGAGGAAGGGGGAACAAGGGGGAGGAGGTGGGGGTAAAGATTTGAGTTTAGGCAGAGAGTGAGCGGGCTGGGGGGATGGAGAGCGCGTAGGGCTGAACTAGCATGACGTTGGACTTGATGTAATCTGCAATGTTCCGCAGCACAATGTTAAGAGCAGCGATGCCGCTAGGCTGCGAGGCAATCGCCCGGCCCTTGCTGTAATACGTGCGGTTGGAGGATTCCTGGAGTGCATGTGGGGAGTGGAGGAGGGGAGGAGGGGGGGAGGAAAGGGGAAAAGAGCAGGAGGAAGAGGGGGGTGGGGGGGAAGGGGTAAGGGGGGAAGGGGAGGGGGTGTGGGTGGGGGAGGGTAAGGTTAAGTTTGAGTCAAGTCGAAGCCCTATCACGCGGGCCTTGATCTAGTACGTGCGGTTGGAGGATTCCTGGAGGGAGAGAGGGGGAGGAGTGGTGAGGGGCGGGAAGGGGCGAAAAGGGGATAGTCTCAGGTGTCGCCTAGCAGCTGCGAATATGGAATTAGAAACACTAGGGAGTAATATGGAGAATAGTAGGAACAGTGAATAAGAATGTTGTCCTCCTAAGGACTTGCAACTTTACCAACGACATGGAGTCTGAGGCGCGTCACAAGGGATCACACACGAATCAGGTTCCAAGACCTGTCATCTGAAATCTTGTAACTCAACGGAACACATGTGATGATGATAATCACGGAATGAGGAAGTTCAAGGGCTTGTCTCCAGGCTTACCGCATAGTAAGAGCCAGCCACGAGGATGGATCGCCTCCTTCTTTTCTCGGGTTAACAAAAAGTCCACGACGACATGTCATGACACGAGAATGAGGAAGTTCCAAGGGCTTGATTCCAGGCTTACCGCGTAGTAAGAGCCGGCCACGAGGATGACTGATCGCAGCCCTTTGAGTGTTTCTGTTAGCTTGTGGTTGATTTTGTCCACGTGCACCATCCATCCATCCTTCACAGATCGCTTCAACTGATGTTGGATGGGGAAATAGGAGGAACGAAAGCAGATTTCGACTGGTTTAGGCGAGCTAACAGTGAGAACTCGCATACGGGAGTTGCTCGAAAACGAATGGGAAACAACAGCCAACAGCGGAACATAGAATAAGAAAACTGTATAAACGAGAAAGGGTGCATACTACAGTGCACCTTCTGCAGAAGTTATTATAGGAGGGATTCTCTTACCGGGTCCATTGGATCCGCTTCGGTGAGGAACGGTGCGTGCACGAACACGACCTTCACCCCCCAAGGCTTGACCTTGAAACCATCGCCGGTCCAGCCAATCGTAGACGGATTGAAACTCTGCAGGGAAAAAGAGGCGGGAAGCATAATTGACTAACAATGTAGCAAGAGCGATGCGGGTCAGTCACAATAGCGAAAAGCGTTTTCATGTATTGTGGGAATTGGGTGTCATGTTGCTTGATTACAGATAATTCCTTCCTTCCAGTTCTTACCTCGGTCTTAAAGTTCGCAGCTTCTAGGCGACATCTGAGCGACTGGTACATGTACAGCCCAGAATTGTCGCCCACGATCGCCACGGCCTGGCCAACGAAAGTCATCGCGAATTTCTTCGCGTCAAACCGAACCAGCTTGCAACCCGATGGCTTCCACTCGAAGTGGCGAAAGTCGCCGTCCGGTCGCCCGTTTTTTTCGCAGTTAAACTCCTGGCTAATGTACGGACACGAGGAATCGTATACCGGGTACTTGGTCGACGGGGCCCAGCTGTAGTTGGGAAGGGTGTAAAACAGGGGGTGGATGTTGATGAAAGATACATAGAAAACAAGTGGGAGAAGCAGGGATGGGAAGAGTGAAAAGGGGATGGCGGATTTCGGGTTCCGGTTGGACGCAGGGACGGGCTGTCTCGCGTACGAGATTGGTGTATCGGGCGGCAGACTTATCACCTCTTGCGCATGCAATACTTAAAACTGAACAGAGAGGCCTGACAACGCTACAGGTCCGCCAGCCGCTTACCTCCCGACGGAGAGGTCACATGCCTTCTTCTTCTTGCCGCCAATCCCGGGAAATCCGGCATATGCCACGTGGAGGCACACCAGGAGAAGCGCGCCGATGAGGATAGTTCTGACAGGCCGCATCATGCTCGCAGTATAGAGTCCCTTCTGGTAATATGGTAACCCTATCGGCGAAAGCGTGAGAGGCGATTTTGGCCTTCACACGAAAGTGCCGCAAGCGAAAGGGAAGGCTGTACGCGTTACAAGTATGCGAGCGCGCGAGGGCTGTGATGCCTACGTACGAAGAGTTCCGCTTAGCTGGTAGGGCGCCGGTGCTTTGAACCGCCTTAGCTGATCGTTTTGGTTGCAAAGGATCGTTTTGGCTGCAAAGGGATGCTCGCCTGTAAACTACCAGTTCCAAACAGCTAGGGGCGAAGATCGGCAATCAAGTGCTTCCGCAGCAACTGGGAATGATAGTTACTATCGTTGCCTCTAAGAGTCAGCGAGAACAGTATATCTGAATGACAGTGTTAGCTGGCGAGAGAACGCATGCATTACAACTTCACTGAAGCGGTGAAGGGCTATCGCAGGAAATTCATTCTTGCTGAAGTGCTACGCTTAAGAGGTAGTAAGCATGAGCGCGAGCCCAAGAAATTTACACAGCCTACGGCGAATGATTCTTGAAAGTGATGGGAGCCGGAGTTGTAGTGACAAAACGTGCGAAAGGTATGGGGGAGGAAGAGCAAGGGTGCACTGCTGGCTTCCTTGGCAACGGCAGAAAAAATTGGCGGGGGCGCAATTTTGCGAGAGAGGGGTGAAACGTGATGCCTGAAATGTGGATTGAATAGTTGCGACGTTTCAAGCCTGGATTATTACGATGGGTGGATCTAGTCGACATGATTGGAAAGGTGGATTGTCATCTGTCGGTGGGGTTCGTGGATGCTGGTATTCAGTGACCTACACGAAGGAGCTTCCGGGCGCATCTAGGACAGTACATGATACGGCGCGAAAGGGTAACGGAAAACTAGCCATGGACCTCGGAAATGTTTGACGGCTGGAGAAAAGCTCAGGCGTCGATGCTATGGTGAGGTGATCCATGTCTGGTTTTGACGAACCTCCATGGCAAGTGCATGCGGTGGTATTGTGGGTGGATTGCGGTGAAGTCGATGGAAGGAGAAGGTGCGGGGCGATTGACGAGAGGATGAAAGTTGAATCTGAGGAGGGAAGAATTTCGTTTCACAAATCCAATTTGGCGGTCCGCAATCTTCACCAATATGTGCGCCTCGTCGAAATTGACGCTCTCGATTTAGCGTCTCGCAATTGATGGACGGCTGAATTGAGTCATACTTTTTCGGGAGTTGGCGGGAGGTGGTTTGGTTCGCCAGCTGTCCGTTTGCCCCTTCATTTGAAAAACCTTGAAAAAAGCGCGAACAAGTTAGGCGGTCAAAATAGAATATTCAGGCAAAACATCACATCCGTACACAGGATGCCTGTTAGATAACTACAGTTTTTCTCGTCATTTGGGTTTTTAGTGAGCGCGAGTGAGTCGCCTGCTCGCCAGCATGCGCCACGGGAAAAATCGGGACAGTAGTGGGAAGTTGAAGAAATGTAACCAGCATCTCAAAATATCTTACGAACGGACAGATGCCAGCGTGATTAGGTGGATGTTCAACGGCTGCGATCAAAATAGGGGCTTGTATCGTGCGTGCAACTGGCTAGTAGCAAATGTAATTGGGAGGCTGTCAAAATCGGAAAGACCAATTTTTGCATGCAACAGCTGAGTATCCTGTGTAGTTGGCAAACATGAAGTTGAATTTAGGTATGACAAGCATCGAGTTTTTGGAGCATCTTGTTTCGAAGACCGGCTTGTACTCGCTATTATCCCTCGAATAATTACAGTTTGGAGTGATTTCGGTATGCCCAAAACAAACCATTGTGAAGAAAAAATCACCAGGTAGAAAGATATACAAAACGTCAGATATTTTTCTTCCAGTTGTCTCACCCATTCACAAGATGCTTGTGGCTTTAGTCATGGCTCCCCAAAAATAAGAGCTGATTGAAGGCTTCACCAATAGCACAATGCATTACACGTGCATCTCATTCATAACCAGCACCAGTCAGACCAGCAAAGCAGCAGCCAGCACCAGCTGACAGGTTGCCTATTCGGCCAAGACCGACTGTGAACTGCCCTTCTAAAGATACAAGTCAGGAAACCATTACGTATGTCAAGAGGTGTCTACTTGATCTTCTTCTTGGGCCTCAGCTGCACAAAGGGACACGGGACAGAAGGGGACACGGAACAGTACGGAAGAAACAAGAGTAGGTGGAGGAACAAGGCAAGTGAGGAGTCAGGGGGGGAAGCTGGGACAGTTGCATCTGGTCATAAGCGGGATTGCACCCGTCACATTCTGTCAGCCTGCAGAATCAATCCTTGCTACAGCTGTTAAAACGAACGCTACAGCTGTGGAATCAACTCCTTCCACCAAGCTGCCACAGCCTGCAACCTGCATGCTTGCTTTGCTACAGCTGCCAGGAAAAGAAGGGCAACCCAAAATGTTTCTACGGCTGCCAGCAGCATTACTACAGCAACACCGCATGTACATAAAGTCAGTCAGTACACCGCGTGTTTCATCTTACATATTGCTATCGCCCACGTGGATGGTGTGATGGCAACAGCTACAGCCTGCCGTAGTTTCTACAGCCTTCCTACCTAATTGCTACAGACGGCCCACCTGGTCGTTACAGCCTACCTACCCAGTCCCTTTCAGCCTGCCAACCTGCTCAGTACAGCTCGCCGCTACACACCTGGTTGTTGTCGCCAACCCACCTGGTCGCTACAGAATGCCACTACAGCCTGCCGCGACAGCCAGCCGCTACAGAATGCCACTACAGCCTGCCGCGACAGCCAGCCGCTACAGAATGCCACTACAGCCTGCCGCGACAGCCAGCCGCTACAGAATGCCACTACAGCCTGCCGCGACAGCCAGCCGCTACAGAATGCCACTACAGCCTGCCGCGACAGCCAGCCGCTACAGAATGCCACTACAGCCTGCCGCGACAGCCAGCCGCTACAGAATGCCACTACAGCCTGCCCCCCATGCACTTCTTCCTGCAGATCACAGAGCGCGGGTGCAGGCGATCATGGCCTGCCTACCAGGTCGCTACAGCCTGCCGCTATAGCCTGCCTGCTCACCTGGCCGCTACAGCCTGCCTGCTCACCTGGCCGCTACAGCCTGCCTGCCACCTGGCCGCTACAGCCTGCCTGCCCACCTGGCCGCTACAGCCTGCCTGCCACCTGGCCGCTACAGCCTGCCTGCCCACCTGGCCGCTACAGCCTGCCTGCTCACCTGGCCTCTACAGCCTGCCTGCTCACCTGGCCGCTACAGCCTGCCTGCTCAACTGGCCGCTACAGCCTGCCTGCCCACCTGGCCGCTACAGCCTGCCTGCCACCTGGCCGCTACAGCTTGCCCACCTGGTTGGTGTGGCCGCACTTCTTCCTGCAGTTCACATCACACTGCGCGGTGCGGGTGAGCGTAGCATATCCAGGCTTCCTTACCTGGTCGCTACAGCAGCCGCTACAACCGGCCCACCTGATCGCTACAGCCTGTCAACCCACCTGGTTGGTGTGGCCACACTTCTTCTTCCTGCAGTTCACAGCGCGCGGGTGCAGGCGAGCGTAGCACCTGGAAAGGGCAGGAAGACGGGAGGCCGGGGGGCAAAGGAGGGATCAGGGGGGTTGTTAAAAAACCGCACACAGCGCGCGGGTGCAGACGAGGGTAGCACCTGGAAAAGGCAATACATTGGTGGAGCAGGGGCGAATCAGGGGCAGACAGGACGGGGCGGGCCGGTGAGGGGGGAGGGATCTTAGCGACAATTAATTCGTTGCACAAACAACTGATTTGCGGCAGATCAGCTCATCGTCGGTGTACTTGCGAGCAAGCGCCATGAGAAACGCTTTGTTCTCGTTTAAGGACGTTAAAAAGAACCGCAGGAAATTTACGAACTCACTTGCGGCAGATCATCTTATCGGCGTTGTACTTGCGAGCGAGCGCCATGAGAGAAGGCTCGATGATTCCTCCTCGCAGCCGCAGCACCAAGTGCAGCGTCGACTCTGAAATCGCAAGGGGGAGGGAGGCGTGGGGGGGGATGTGGGGGAGGGACACACAAAAGAGGGACACACAGTGGAAAATCCATGAGCAAGGCTCGATGATTGCACCACGCAGCCGCAAGCGGAGGGCGTGATAGGGAAGTGATTGTAACAGGGAAAGAGCGAGGAATAAACAAATTGCGACAGGGAAGTGAAGGGATGCGAGAAAGGACGAAGAGAAGAGGCGGAAGAGGGGACGGAGGTGGGGAACGAGAGAAACGAGAGGAAGAGGGGTGAGAGAGATGGGCGGGAGAGGGGAGGGGGTGGTGGGAAGAAGAGCCGAGTCTCGCGAATCATCAGCGCGACACATCAGAATCGTACCCTTCTGAATGTTGTAGTCGGCAAGAGTGCGGCCGTCCTCGAGCTGCTTGCCGGCGAAAATCAGCCGCTGCTGGTCGGGAGGGATGCCTGGAGGGGCATAGAATAACCGGGGAGATAAGAACACGGGGAAGGAAAAGGGGGAGCGGGGGTGGGGAAAAGTCGGTGAGATAACACGGCGACGACTTAACGCTGTTATACTTCGGCAGCTTTTGTCGAACTAATTCGACGTTTGGAGGGTGCGAGAATATATGCGAACGCGCGTACTTCAATAGACCGTCTAGCCCGATTGCAACGCGCAATGGTTAACCTCCCTCGTGCAAAGTGGCGCCTCATATTACATTCTCAGCTGAGGCAGATTTATGAGGCTCTGAAAGAAGAACCGCAAGAAAGTCGAGTAGATCCCGTCCCCATCTGCAAGAACTCTACATGTTCAGTGAAAACTCGTCTTGAATCCTTATCCTTATCCCCTCTGCAAGGCTTCCCACTCCCGTTCGCCCCTATCAGTAGCGCACTGCTGACCATCACACTCTACTTGTAATGCCTGCCCTCTTAGCCGTGCGGAAGTACAGTTCGAGTCGACCTAAAAAAAAAGGGCCCCAAAGCCGAAGAAACGACGCTCTGCAAGCAAATGCCTTTTTTCAGACCTACACTGACAGAAAAAGGGAAACCGACGCCGATG